CTACTTGAGATAAAAGATGCAGTGATTCATTAATAATAAGCAAACATGAGATCAGTATTTCACTTTATGGTGTTTTGGTTTGTTCCTTCAGTCGCTCACAAAGGTTTATAAAATAAAGAGATATAGTAACAAATATAGTAATTGCTTGAAATAATTGATCCGTCATGATTCATTAATGATGAACGAACAAGAGATCAATATTTCACATCTTGTGTTATTCATTATTTTTATATATATATATAGATTAATTAATACAGTAAAGTCCAGTTATAACGGACTTCAAGGGACCTGGCAAAACAGTCTGTTATATCCAAAGTTCGTTATATCCAGAGTTGCTGTATGCCCAGAACACAACTACAGGACACCATTTACTCATGCCACACCTCAGTAGACACACTTGTGGTATAGATTATTATATTGTACATGTAGTAATCCAACTTTACCTGACCAGATGCATGAGTATTAATAATCCTCTTCAGGGTTGTGGGGTCCTCAGCATGTTTGTGGACTGTGTGGAGAACGCAGAGGAAACCCCACAACGACATGGCGAGAACAGCAAACTGCACACACATGGAGCCCCGGCAGAGACTCAAACCCTGGTCCCAGGAGAGCCAGCCAGCAGTCCAGACCACCCAGCACCACAACGCCCCCCATAGGAATGAGCCTGCAGCAAATGGTTAATTAACAATAATAACTAAATGGCTTTAGTGAAGATGAACCCCGAAGGGAAAACATTATTAATTTGCCCGCCTATTTAACATGCCGTGTGTTCTGAATAGATGGATTAGCTCGATATAAAACCAGACACAAGTTGGTTGAATGTTCTCCCACTTACTGTGATTTCTGTCCACAGTCCAAACACAGGCTTAGTCCACTGAGTCACCCATCGCCCCAGGTGGAAGAATTATGATGGATAGCTTATTTCAGGCAGTTACTATATTTGTTACTATATCTGTTCATTCTATAAATCTTTGTCAGCTACTGAAAGAACAAATAATGAAAAACACAAAAGGTGATATACTGATCTCATGTTTATTCATTTTTGTAGCCTCATCTATGGTCATGAGCTGTGGGTAGTGACCGAAAGAATGAGATCGCGGATACAGGCGGCCGAAATGAGGTTTCTCCGCAGGGTGTCTGGGCTCTCCCTTAGGGATAGGGTGAGAAGTTTGGATATCCGGGAGAGTCTCAGAGTAGAACCGCTGCTTCTTCATGTGGAAAGGAGCCAGTTGAGGTGGTTTGGACATCTGGTGCGGATGCCTCCTGGGCGGCTACCCGGAGAGGTTTTCCGTGCATGTCCTACAGGGAGGAGGCCCCGGGGCAGGCCCAGGTCTCGCTGGAGGGATTATATCTCTCAGCTGGCCTGGGAACGCCTCGGCGTCCTCCCCGAGGAGCTGGTGGGGTTAGCTGGGGAGAGGGAGGTCTGGGAGTCTTTCCTGAAGCTGCTACCCCCGCGACCCGAACCCCGGACAAGCGGATGGTGATGATGATGATGATGATGTTTAGTCATCTTTAATAAATCATAATGCATCTTTTATCTCAAGTAACTAAATTTCTTCATGACTTGTTCTTGAGTAGTAAATGACTACTAAGGAATTACTACTAAGTTACTAAGGAACCATATTGTAAACTGTTACCAAATATATTTTTTTCATTTTGGGTAAATTTATGTACCTGACATCCTTACACACTCAGTGCTGAAATCAAACACATTTATATGCTTTTGAAAGTTTTTTTTTGTTAGTTTTTCTGCTTATATCCTCAGAGAGAAGCATTTTTTTCATACAAAAAAAAAAAAATCTGATCCCTTTGTTTTTCCCCATCAGTGTGTTGATGGATTTGCATTTCAGATTTTTTGAAAAGTCAGATGTAAACTGTAATCAGTTCACATCTAACCTTTAATTTCCTACTCCTATATAATTATTTTAATTATATAAATGTAATATTATTTATAAATAATCATTACGGTGTTGTTGCATTGGTTGTTATGGTGTCCTGTCATTTTTGTGTGCTTTTATTTTGCACATTAGGTTTTTATATCTGTGACATGCAGACAAAGGAATACATCTGTGTATCTCTAACTTTTATGCACATGTCTACATAAGGGAATAATGCTGATCTGCTGTGATTAAGCCCAACAGCCAGAATGAAATGAAAACTGTGTTTTGGGAATCGGGGTTTGCAGTTGTGAGGCTATGACTTCTTTTATTCCTTTTTTGTCTTTTGGAATCTGTCCTCACTCAAACTGCACTCGCTGAAAGATCTCAGACAAAGAGGTAAGTCCTGTTTCTTGGTCAATCCTCCCAGTAGACAGACATCAAAGAAAGAAGATCTTGCAGTTGCTCATTCTCACTGTCCTCCTGAATCTCTGAGAAGCCTCACCATATAGCACTGGATCTCTCACCTCCACCTAGGTCTGTGATCCCCCCCTGGGGAGAAACACGCACCTCTGGATGCCAGGCCGCACAAACAGCAGAAAATAATTCAATTTTACGTGCAGAAAAAGAAAAAAAAAATGTAGAACCACCATCCCCACCTCCCGCTCTCCCTCTCTCATCTCCCCCGAACCCGTGCTACAGTCTCGATTCTGCCATCTCTGTCCTGCTCCTTCATGTCATTCTCATCCCTCTATACCCTATAGAGTGTGCATTATGAATGTCTCTCGACCAATGACTGCTTCAAAGAGCTCATGAGTTTGTATGATGTAAATCCAGAGAAATTGCAGTACTTAATAATAATCAAGGATGGATGGATGGATGGATGGATGATATGATGACAGTATCCTTGTAGTAACTTGAAACAACATCCCTGCTGACTGATAGCACTCAACCATCAGACTTTACATGCATGATTATATTATGCAAAATCTATCCAGTGATTGGTTTCTTCAGATGGAGAAGGTCACAGTACGTTATATACTGTGTAAGACCATTCGGAATAGTGTTTAACTTTAATAACAGGGCTTCACCGTTGATATGCATGGTGTCATGTTAGTGCAGAAATCACCCTAGTTGCACTTTGAGTAAGTGGCATCATCTTATCATAACTATTTTAGTGCATGGCTGTTTTTTTTAACCATAGAGAGGCTATGAAGGTTCCTGCCTGGTCTGGTAGAGGCATGAGGACATTAATGGAAGCTAAAGGTCATGTATTCAAGTGCTTAATATATCATCACAACGTTTTTTCAGAGGAAAGCTGGATGGAGTGTGGTGCAAACAGTGTGTGCTACCAACCAGAGCAGCGCAAGGCAAATTTATTTTAGAGGGTAATATTTAATCCAACCATCAGAGATAATTCCTTTTTACTGAATAGATTGAATTCCATAGGCAAGGCCTATATGACACGAGCAACAGGACAGCTAAAATCCTTCTGTTCCAGTACAACAAATGCGTTCGTATGTGATAAAATTATTTTAAAGGGGACCACACCCCTGTATAAGGATTACTATCATTCCTGCGCCCACGCCCCGCCCCCCCCCGCCCCCCCCCCCCCCCATCCGGGCTGGGTCCAGGACAACTTCCCCATTTGTCCTCAGACGCCAGACCTCTTCATCAAGTTCTCCATTTCAACCACCAGGGGGCAACATGTGCTTATGTCTCATACCTCTGGTTTGAAATAATAAATAGGCAACAATCTGTAATGTTTGAAAAGTTTATAATACATATTTGCACATCATGTACTGTGCTGGAAGTAAAATCTATCATTTTCAGATATATCACAAGTATTATGATAATTTTGAGATAATAGGTACAAAGTCACTCAACAATTCGGTATAAGCATCCGGACTGGGACCCTAAAACCTTAGGTCTGATGTTACTTTTCTCACGGTAGTAGCTTTGTTTGTCTTTTTTTTTCTTGCAGAAAACAATTTCACTAAATTTTTTGTGTGAACATTTTCCTTTTTGTTTTAATTGATTCGGGATAAATGTTAAAGGAAATGTTACAAGGTTACATATATTCCAAGGCTGCAACGCAAATCCCCCAGCTGGTTTTCAAACCGGCTGTTTCTTTGAATATACACGCAAACATACACATGCATGTATAACACACATTAGAGCTTAGATCGGGCCCAAAAAATTAAACCCGACCCTACCCGAGCCCGTGCACCTTGTGTCCGAGCCCGACCCGGTCCGACACATTAACTGTAATTATGAGCCCGAGCCCGATTTAAACCCGACTATTTTTTAATACGTGAGCCGTTGTAACAGACGTTCTCAACTACAATTCTAAGTTGTTTGAACTACAGAAATTAGTTTAGATTTATCTTAATGAAAAATGCAACAAGGACGAAGCATGTAAACTGCATTGTTTGTTTATTCAGAATGGATTTTTGAGACACGTTTAGAAGAAAAGCACGTTTTCACTTATCCAGTTCGCTTGCTGCTGGAACCAGTTTGTGTGCTCGGCATCGAACTTTAAGTAAAGGGTTAAGAAAAAGGTTAAATCTTTCCGTAAGCAGCCAACGAGGTATGTGTTAATTAAGTTTTAGTTAAGTTTGTTGTATTTAGCCATGTAAATGTAAATGCTAACTGAGGTTCGTGTTAACTGTATATGAATTCTCTAAGCTGTCTTTATTGTTATTTATGTTTATATTTCATTTGAATTTCAATGTTTGTTAGCTAATATTGTAAGTAAATGTGCTTGATTTTGTGTTTCCGTATCTGTATTTAGTTCTCACGTCTGCCATGATGGTGATAATAACGAAGCCACTGTCTTTCGAATAAACCGTCGGCTCAGTTAAATGCAAAGGACTCTTGTGCTCGTGTCTTACGGGAGGGAGCTACATTTATAATTATGGCATAGCTCTCCACCCAATTAGGCTAATTAAGTAATGATTAAAAAAAAAAAAAACCACACACAAATGCTTGATCATGGCCCCGCCCAGCCCGGCCCGGCCCGGCCCGGCCCGAAGATAGTGGCAGGAAATATCGGCCCGACCCGGCCCACGGGTCGGGTCGGGTCGGGTCGGGTCTGGGCTCGGGCTCGGGCAGAGAATCTAAACTCTAACACACATGTCTGCATGTGCTTCAGCAGCATATGCATATAGGCGGCAAGATGGTTCACAGCTTCTGCAAAGCACAGGAAGATTAAAAAAAAAAAAAAGCCACACACACTAACACTTCCAGCCCAGCAGAAGTACCTACGCAGAAGTACTGCACACACCACTCTGCTAGTGATCAGTCAGAGGAGCCACAGAAGTCACATTAAAGGTAGGTTTCTGGTGGTTATAATTTGAATGATTTTCATTTACAAACGGACAGCTGCTTTGTCCACGTAGTAGAACTAAGGTGGTTTAAATGAATTACATGCATCTTTCAGGCTGTTGCTATACGATAGTAACACGGAGCTGGAATTCGCTACCAAAGAAATAGCGCGTCTAGCGGCTGAAGGAGTTTTAGATACTTCGTGTCCTGTGCTTCCTGGGATTGTATCTAGGCGCAACATGACACTTATGCAAAATAATAATTTGTGAAGTCAGCTGAACTTGGTCGGGATTTGTCCCTGTCGTAGATATGAAGTATGGAAAATGGGTGGATAGAGATGAAAGTATCAGAAAACAAAATTAATCTCTACAAGAATCATACCTCTGTATCAGTTCACTTGTAGAATTTATTTTTCACGTTGTGAATGCTATCAATCAGCAGGGAAGTAGTTTCAAGTTACTGCAAGGATATTGTCATTATATCATCCATCCATCCATCCCTCCATCAATTCATCCCTCCATCCACCCAATAATGGAAGCTACCAGGAGCTTGGAGATAGCAACAACGGGGAATGTCTGGGATCACCGAGTACTGGGATGGGAAACACTATTATGGAGGATAAGCAGGTGGTGACAGACAGACAGACGGATGGACAGATGGACAGACAGACAGACAGATGGATGGACAGACAGATGGATGGACAGATAGACAGACAGACGGATGGACAGAAAGACAGATGGACAGAAGGATGGACAGACAGACGGACAGACAGACAGACAGACAGATGAATGGACAGAAGGATGGACAGACAGACATACAGATGGACAGACGGATGGACAGAAGGATGGACAGACGGACAGATGAATGGACAGACGGACAGACAGACAGACAGACAGACAGATGAATGGACAGAAGGATGGACAGACAGACATACAGATGGACAGACGGATGGACAGACAGACGGACAGATGGACAGACAGACAGACGGACACACAGACAGACAGATGGATAATGTTGATTTAATAACATTCGATAATCTGAATTATTTATGAGGATATCGCAGGACAGTTTGCTGTTCTTGCCCAAACTAGCTGTCACACCAAAGCTGCCACTGATATTTCTAGTGCCCTACATTTAAACTGTAATCACTTCCCTCTTTGAGATCATACATACAGCGTGTGGCTCAGTGGGCTAAGCCTGGGTGCTTGTAATCACAAGGTCGCCGGTTCAAACCCAGCCTCAGCATGTCTGTGGGTCCTTGAGCAAGGCCCTTAACCCCCAGCTCCCTGGGCGCCCCAACAGATGGCTGCCCTTCGCAGACAGCTTACTCTACAAAGAGCAAGTTGAGGGAGGCATAAAAAGAATTTCCCCATGAGGGACAATAAAGGTTAAACTAGTTAATATATATATAATAATAATAATTATATATATATATAATTAGTCATTACATTAATGATGAACAGGCAGATAATGAAAGAACAGAAAGCTTTTTGTTGATTTTAAACTGGACTTCCACAAAAGTTTCCTCCCAATTGTCAACAGGCATTGGGGACATTGGTAAGTCTGGGACGTCATGTGTCTTTGTGACAGCACAAGGCCAAGTGACATCACGGAATACACCCTACCCCCTCTGTCTACTCAGAGGTGACTAAAACATCCCGATTTATCCAGACATACTGGCCACTAATATAATCATAAATTCAGTCAGTCATATCCCCAGGATTTGACCTTATTTAGTAACTCATACTATCATACCATCAGTGGAAATGTTTTCTGCCACCCAAGCCACACGTCTGCATGGGCCAACCAAGGTTTGGCCCCCTGTTGGTCACAAACAGTCACTACATTGAAAATTAAATAAATGTGTATATCATTTAGCAGACCCCGAAGCACCATGTTCTGTTATCCAGTTACAATCTAATGATTTTAACCACTAGCTACTTATTTAGTTTTTGAAACATCTGAAGAAGGGATGAAGGGCCCCAAAGTGACGTCTTGAGGGGGGTCCCAGGAACAACAAACATGCATTATAGAAAAATAACTAAACTTTCAAAGTACTAATTCCAGTTTGTCTATTAATATTGTACAAATAGTGCAGTTAGAGTAAGCTCATTGCATTTTGTTCTCTGTTGCTCATTGTGTGGCATGAAGTGTGAAAAAAAAAAATATATATATATATACAGTATAGCGCCTTCCTGTGCATTTAGTTTTTAGTTTATCTGACACATTTCATGAAACATAGTTAACATTCTCAAGACTAATAAGGGCATTTTCCAAAACAATTCATGCATGTAGCACAACACTAAGGTTTAGCTGCAAAAGCCTGTTATTTACCCAAAACAATTAACTCATGTCTCAAACGCAAATAATTCCACCAATGAACTAGCACAATCAGCATCGTTTTAACCATGAGAGTCAAAATGCTTAGATATATTGTCCAAATATTTTAGTATAGGTATGCAAATGGCTTTGTACAATTGTCACCATTTGGGACAATTTTCAGTTGCTTTAGAGTAATAGATCATGTAGAGCCTTGATATGTTGAAACTGGTATCTTTGACTTGAATACGTATCAGGTCAGCGACAACGAGAAAGTGGGAAACGACTGTAATTCAGAATTATGGAGGTCAGGAACATACATTGACATTTTGACAATATATCTACACATCTTGACTCTCATGGTTAAAACGATGCTGATTGTACTAGTGTTTTGATACTGCCTTGGTCCTGGCTTATGAACAGATGGATGGATGGATGGACGGACCCCTCAAACATATGAAAACAAAATGTGTGAGTGTGTGTGATGGTCATTATATATTACATTGCAGGGACCAAATGTCCCGATATTGTGATAAAAATCTGTTATTTTGACGTTGTGGGGACTATTTTTTCAACTCAATGTCATAAAAATTTGTGAATGCAATCGAAAAAGTAAAAATGCCAAAAGTCTTGTATTTGGGTTGGTTACTTATGGTTAAGGTTAGGGATGGGTAGAGGTTAAGGGTGTCATGATTGGGTTTAGGGTTTTTCCCATAGAAATGAATGGACGGTCCCCATTTAGATAGGAAGACCAACTTGTATGTGTGTGTATGTGTGTGTAAATGCTGTTTTTTTCCATCCTGTGCATCAAATGACGACATATTTACATTTAGGAAATCATGGGAAGTCTACAAGCAATGTGGCAACCCTGTGACTCAGGCTGTTCATGTCACGCAGTAAAGCCACTTGTGGGAAGGCATGGTTCTGAGGCAGGGTTTCTCAACACAGTTCTCAGGGACCCAAAGACAAGCCACGTTTTTGCTTCCTCCCAGGTGCTATCAGGTAGGGAGCTGTGAGGGAGCAAAAACGTGGACCGTCTGTTGATTCCCGAGGTGTGTTTCCCAGTTGCTTGGGCAACACTCTTCACGGGGGAAGGATGCATGGATGCATTATGTCATTGTCCAACGTCTGTCCACATTGCATACTTTCGTTTTGAAAGGCCTAAATTGCAATGTATTAAATACACCTGCATGGGTGTATCCCGAAAGAAGGCATGCGTGCACTTGACACATGCAAATCGACAGAGTTTACCAACAAAAGCAGAAGTAAAGAAGAAGATACAACTCTGTTACAGTACATACAGAAAATAGCAGCCCTTTATAGTCATGTTGAAGAGCTATGGTCAGAAGTATGTTATGCAGATGGGCGGAGTCTGCCGTCAAAAGGAGAAGCAAGGTCGGCAAGACAAACTTCATATATGTGATAAAGCCCTTATATCACTGTACACATCATCCCTTCACCATGCTCTGCAGTCCTATGGGCACCTGATTCTTGGTCATGGACCTATAGACACACATACACATTCATTCATACATATATATATATATATATATATATATACACACACAAGATACTATAGCATTGGGTGATAGATTACGGATGTAGAATGTCCATCTATCCATCACCATAACTGCTTAATCCCAACTGGGGTTGCAGGGGGGACTGGAGCCTATCCCAGGAACAAGGGCCAGAGGCGGGAACCAACCCTGGCCAGTTGCCAACACACCCACAATTACAGACTCACCAATCAACCTGCCCTGCATGCTTTTGGACCGTGGGAGGAAACCCATACTAACACAATGAGAGCGTGCAAACTCCACATAGAAACGATCCGGGATCGAGCCCAGGTCCTTCTTACCGAGAGGCCGCAGTGCTAACCACTGCACCACCGTGCCGCCACGGTAGAACGTCATTAATATTTCATTTCTCCATCAGATGGAAGACATAGACGCCATGTTTAGTGACCTGCTGGGGGAGATGGACATCCTAGCACAGGTAAGTCTTCCTGCTCAAGAGGAAATTTGTCTGTCTTCATTAGAATCCAAGGTCAGAATTTTACTTCCTTTTTCTTTTGTTTTTTTTTTTTTTTTTTGCATCGGACCCTTGATAGTCTAAAGTGCTACTGGAGACCAAGCAAGCATTTACCACAGGCTGCATGCACATAGCAGACTTAGCTCAGATAAGCATCTCAGTCCTTCTCTTGGTGATTTTCGCAGAGCTTGCAGGCGGAAATTGAACCGCCGGAGCCAGACTTTGAACCTCCAGGTTTGAAAGGTAAGTCAGATGAATATCTCTGAAATGGTTTAATAATAAAAAATATAATCCAAACAGGGAATATCTTTCACGATATAATGTACATTGTCATTTGGCTTCCCTGCTGTTATTGACAGCAGATTGCTTATTCCTGCTGGTTTTTTTGCCTTTTCCTAGCATTCTCCCCCTCAGTCTTCGTCTCCCTGAACAACCTAGCCGACAATGATCTGGATTCCCTTATGGCCGACCTGGTCGCCGACCTGGGCCTGGTGGAGGACGAAATGACGGCAGATAAAGGAATCCTCATCCCACCACAAGAGGGGCCACAGTTTCCTGCTCCGCCATCTCTGGGCACCATCAAGCCCTCAGAGTCTCTCCTTCCTGCGGCCCCCAAGCCGTCACTGCCGGTAACTCACAGGCGGGGGCACTGGCGTCTGTCACAGTGCATTTCATCACTGGTTTGCTCAGCGTGTGTTTTATTTCATTCATTCGCTCATTTGTTTTTCTCAGGAAGAGGCTGAAGCAAAGGATAAGGCTGACAAAATTAAGCTCGCGCTGGAGAAGCTGAAGGAAGCCAAAATTAGAAAGGTAAGGGGATGACGGCAAGAGGCCACGTGCAAAAGGCGTTTGGCTCATTGGCTCATTTTTTCTCTGTTTCGATTGTCGCAAGAAGGCATTGGTTGAAAAGGATCAGAATCCAATGAGGTAATTTAGATCCATTTAGATTACAGCTGCTTATCCGGCAATGGGTGGTGGGCGGAGCCTGGAGGCAGAAAGCAGGGTTACACCCACGATGGGATGCCAGTCCATTGTAGGGCACATGAAATAACATGCACTATGGGCAAAGTCACCTGACCTCATGTATTTGCATTATGGAAGGAAGCCAGCGAGGAAGAGGAAACCAGTGAAATATGTGGTGAACACGCAAACTTCCAAATGAAAATCTATCAGCTACACTTGCCGGATTGCTGATTGGCCAGAGAGATCCACACTTTGTGATGTAGGGCCCACTCTCGCAGCTCTCACTCAGAATGGTTGACAGGGTGCTGAACGGCTGTTCTGCTCTCTGCAGCTGGTCATTAAGGTGGTCATGAACGATGGCAGCTCCAAGGCGCTGATGGTGGACGAGAAACAGACGGTCCGCGACGTGCTGGACAGCCTGCTGGAGAAAACGCACTGCCAGGCCAGCATCGACTGGACCCTGTATGAGACGAACCCTATTCTGCAGATTGGTGAGAGCCTAAGTGGGAGCTGGTAGGAGGTCATGGAGCTCCACATTTTATTAGGGGGGGGGGGGTACATATAATATGCCTAATTTTTCAGTCAAAAACCTAGACCAGTGTTTTCCAATCCCGTCCTTGATGACCCAGGCAGTACACATTTTTGGGGAGCTGGGAGGGAGCAAAAATGTGGACTGTCGGGCAGGGAGCTCAGGGGGAGCAAAAATGTGGACTGTCGGGCAGGGAGCTCAGAGGGAGCAAAAATGTGGATTGTTGGGCAGGGAGCTCAGAGGGAGCAAAAATGTGGACTGTCGGGCAGGGAGCTCAGAGGGAGCAAAAATGTGGATTGTTGGGCAGGGAGCTCAGAGGGAGCAAAAACCTGTTATTGACTACTATGCTGCCCAGGCACCTGCACACTAATGCAATTCAGACAAGTGATTTCTCAGGTGGTGCTAGAACTTACAGTAACAACTGCATGGATATTTTCATACCTGGTAACTTTAATTACATTCTCTTCAACCAGAAAGAGTTTTAGAAGATCATGAATTCCTGGTGGAGGGTCTGTCTGCGTGGACGCGAGACAGTGAAAACAAAATTCTTTTTCTCGAGAGACCGGATAAATATGCTGTCTTCAAAGATCCCCAGGTATTTACACTAAAAGAAAAAAAGATGAAGATCGCTAAACCTCTTACAGAAAACGAAACATCTGAATACTCTAGCACAGGGTTATTCAAATCACGGTCCTCGAGGTCTGAGCACTGCTGGTTTTCCAGCCTTCCTTTACCTGTCAGTCAGGTGTGAAGCCTCTGACCAATCAGAATCAGTAATTATTAAACAACTACCTGGGAGAACTGAAAACACGGCCTGGATTTGGAATCGAGGTCCAGAGTTGAAGAACCCTGCTCTAGCATTTGGAAGGTCTACATGCAAAGCCTTCATTTATATACAGTAGGTGATGCATTTCTTTTGTAAAGGTAATGTAGACAGATTAAAGGCCAGCAGGATTGCTTGTATATTAACAGAGAGGTAAGAGGCCTCACTTCTGTATAAAGTGAATAGTGCAGACATGTCTAAAGCAGAAATATATTTTTGACAAAAAAAAATGAATACAGATTATAAAATCATATTTTGGAGGAAAAAAAAAACAACATTGGCATTTCCGTTGATCTACATTTGGTGCATTTTGAAGATGTGAACTGAAAAACACAGAAATATTAAAAAGAGATATCGTGAAAAAAGGACGTTTTTAGGTCGCTTCAGGTGATTTTTGTGGCAAGTCGAAAAAAAATTGCATTGGAAACAACATTCACAAATTAGTGCATATTCAGGACATGATGATTAGTTCTTACAGAGCTACTAACTCGTGGAAAGTCTGCTCCATGTTGAAATAGGGCAAGAATTATTCATATATCCCTAATGGAAACACACCCAGTTTGCATCTTCAGTTTATTGGTAAATTCACAGAAAACTTTAACAGAAACACAATTTGTGATTTAACATGGACTCAGGAGGTGGTGGAACATTCACAGACACAATCCTGGGCACTGAAATGGCGTGATTCCTGTTTTTTTGGTCGAGCCGTGGTATAGACTTTTGATCTCTTGTACTTTTTGTTGACTCTATCCATAAAGAACTTCTATATTTGGAAAAAGAACAAACAACTTTTAAAAGATGTGAACCAGAAAGAAAAAGAAGTACTCTTGACGGTGAGTTAAGCACACCTTCACTCACAAACCCTTATTCAATCCGGATTCAGACAATGAAGCTGTTGATTTGTATATAATTCATAGTCTCTCAGGTTGCTGATTGAAGGTCCTCGATCCAAAGTTATGCTTCCACCAAGATGAACATGGCCATGGCTTTTACTATCGCTGAGAATCGTCTTTTTTTTCCCTGCCCTTGGTTCTCACCTTCAACCACAGGAAAATTTCTGTGGGCCTTCCGTCATTGTGCCCGACCTTGAAGGTATCCTCTACTTAAAAGAAGACGGAAAGAAGTCTTGGAAACGGCGCTATTTCCTTCTAAGGGCTTCTGGAATTTACTACGTGCCAAAAGGAAAGACGAAGGTCAGGAGGTGTGTGTTATGCATCAAAAATTCTCAGAAGTACCAGCAGAAGTTTAATTGATTTCATTTTATGATACAGACATCGTGCGACCTGGCAAGCTTCATACAGTTTGACAATGTGAATGTCTATTACGGTGTGGACTACAAAAACAAGCATAAGGCCCCCACTGACTTCTGCTTTGTCCTCAAGGTACACCATTAATATACTCTCTCTCATTGGTTGAAGCAACGGAAAATATCTATTTTTGTTTTTTAAAGGGAACATTTCAGTTTCGTGATCTTATCTGTGGTAGCTTAATAGAAATACAGGCTATAGCAGACCTTTCAGAATAAAAGTACCTATTAAGAAAATATTTTAAATCTTGTTCCTACGTAATAACAATGCCAATGCCAGACTATGACTACCATTTTTCTAAGTGTGTTTTTAAACTGTTTTATGCTCCTCTCATGAGTTTGTCACCAGAGGCGCTGTGGTGAACTGTGGTGAACAACACCCCCCGACCACAACATTAGCGTATTTGCTGCCCCCCTTCCTCAGAGATTGTATCTTCCAGCTGCTAAAGCACCCGTTCGGTTTGTGTTACACTGGCCAGTTTCCTCGGCCTCCTGGATATAAATGACTGCTAGATCAGCTGGAAAAAAAAAACCCTGACTACTAAACACTTCAGTGGTTTCCTTTAGAAATATCAGGAAGTGTATTTATAGATATTTATCATAATTCATTAATATGCTGCATGCAAGCTCTGTGAAACGTGGAGCGACTGGAAATGGCATCAAGCTTTCGGTAAAATCCCGGGGTCTTACAGTTTTTCTCGATTGCTTTGGCACATTTCATGAAACATGCTTAAGAGCATTTCTCAAAACACTTCATGCACACAGCACAACGCTATGGTTTAGCTGCAGAAGTCTCTAACTTACCCGAAACAATGAACTCATGTCTCGAAAGCAAATAATTCCACCAATGAACTGCCACCAAAATGAAAAGTACAATCAGCATCTGTTTAACCCTGAGAGCCAAAATGCTTAGAAATAGTCCAAAAATCAGTGTGAGCATGGTCCGGGGGTTCACAATTCTGAAAGATAGTCGTTCCCTCTTTCTAATTGTCACTGACTGATACAAACTGATACTTATTTATGTCAAAGACACCAGTTTCAACATTACAAGGCTCTGCAGTACAGTATGTAAAGTTCATTGACAAGAGAAAGCATTCGCATGCTCATGTAACTTCTTCAGATCTCAAGACAGTACAATATCAAACAAAAAAGTCACACAGCACTATATTACACACATACAATGATCATATACATACATAGTTTTGGGTGTAAAATTATTACAATCGGAAACAACATAATCTATTTAGACCAACAAGATTAAAGCAACTGAAAATTGTGTCAAGTGATAACAATTGTGCAAAACCATTTACATAAAACTGCATTTATGTGAAGCAATGAGACATGATATTCTGCTGTGCTAGAGTGACATTGTGATTATGGGGATTACACTTGCTGTTTTGCAAATGTTAATGGTCATTTGAGGAATGTGCATAAGCAATCACGAAAAAGTGTAGTGAATTGCCAAAAAATTATTTTCTTTTATTTGTATGTCCAGTTATTCTATTTTGGCTTTAAAGGGTAAATTTAGCTGCTTGTGTTATAGTGCACACCAGTTTTCAGCTACACAGAAAAAAAGTCACAGTCTCTAATCTATTACCAGTAAATATCAGTATTGGTATATAAATTGATTTCAACCTAGGGGTTGATATGATTTTATTTAAACATTGCATGAATCACATGAATAGAATAAAGATGGAACAGATTTTTAGTTCGCTTCTTGGGGATAGTCTTTGTTTGCCAGCAACTCAGTAGGGTTTTCAAAGTCTGCTGCTTCGTGAGCAAAAGGGCGAGCTAACGCTGTTGGTGTTTTAGGGATGTGAAATTCTTCCTTCTTCTTTTGTTTTGAGTACTCAAGTCTAATCTAATCTGGCAAATTTAAACGAGAGCAGTCTTTTACAGTTCATATTGTATTTCCTTACTTTGCTGATAAAAAAAAATTAAGCCAAATTTTCATTGATGAAAGGAATCATGAATTATGCATGAATATGCCGTGTCTGTGGTCATACTGCCATCTGGTATTACCACTGAGAAAGTGCAGTGCAAAGCAGTGTGGAATATCTGTGGTGAGGATCTACACTGCATGTTGCAAGAAGGAGTGCTGTACTGTTGGTTTTTATTTCATATCGATATGAAGCTTTAAGGACCCCTTTGAAATGTTATATTGATACGCAGCCATTTGCATTAGCACAATTCACATATCGCTTTCCTTTCATGAAACATCATCGCGGAACGTGACGACTTCGTTGTGACTGACTACTTCTGTCAACAGCATCCCCAGATCCAGAAAGACTCCAACTACATCAAGTACCTCTGCTGTGAGGACAAGCCCACATTGGGTTTGTGGGTGACCTCCATTCGCATTGCAAAAGTGAGTCCCCATTCGAGTGAATCATTTCCACTCATCATGAAAGTAAACATTAGACAATGTGAATGTTTAAAGCTATTTATCTGGGTAGTAAGTGCATATATGCTTTAAAAAAAACAACATTTAACATTACAGTACATGCAAATGAACAGTAACATCATAAAAAATAGCAAAAACTTCTTCTGCTCTGATATCTAGTTGGATGAGCAGATGAACGCCGCTTCAGTTCCCAAACCTCTCCTCATGGCACCTCAGCCATTCCATGGATTCGTTATATCTTACTACCAGCTCACCTAATTAATTAGCATAAATATTTTTTTCATGCATTTTTTTTTGTCCATCAGTATGGAGTAACGCTGTACGACAACCACAAGGCCGCCCTCTGTAGAACGACATCCTCCTATAGCAGCTGGACAAACCGGGCTGCTTCCAACCAATCAGCACAGCCCAGAAGCCCAAACGGTCAGTGCCGTCCAAAGCTTCAGCTCTTAACATGCAACACGCAGGTATCGATTGGAACAAAGCAAAAACGAACTAAATCGAGCAATAATTCATTAAAAACTGAAAACGTTTCATCTTAAAATATATTTCAGTTGCGTGATGAAAACAGTGGACATGATACTGTTGTTTGTTATTGTTTATCCCGAGCGCGAATAGGAAGGTATGGTTAGAAGTAGAGTTACCATACGTCCCAGTTTCTCTGGAAACGTCCTGTTTTTTTGAGCCCCTGTCAGGGCGTCCGGGAGGTTTTTTCAAAAATCGCCGGTTTGTCCGGGTTTAGCGCTACAACTCGTATGACCCAGTGTTGCCAGTTACAGCGCAGTAGCAACCAGGGGCGCATTAACTTCTCTGGGGGCCTTAGGCTGACATGGGTTAGCCCCCCCCCATAAGTGGGTCATTGGAGATATTTTTGGATCCCAAAGAGAAATGAGAGGGAATTAAAAACAATGGAACTTCAGTAATATTCTAATGAAAGTGTGGGATGATGCTAATGCGGGAGTGCTGTTGGTGGGGGGTATCGTGTCGGTAAGGTTACCCTTCGATTTTTTTTGCATATATTCGTTTAATTGTGTTCTCTCCACGTCTGTTCACAAGTTGTCTACCACTCTAGTGAGACAGACATGGGAGACGTTAGTCTTGGGTGTTTATGCCGTTTTCTTCTTGTTCAGCTACTTAGTGCCACTTCGCTTGGCAGCGAACAGCTGGTATACTCCAACGTTAAGAAAGATGGGTAGCGCAAAGTCTCAAAGTGGAATAGTCCATTACAGCTGGCACGGGTGGGGCAATTCTCTATCCTGAAAACTGTCGCTAAAATATGCAAATAACATACACGCTGCTATCATTTAAATGATCGTATTATGTTACATCCTTAAATGTAACTTCTGGAAATTCTGTCTTCGTGGGGCCCCTAGTTTTCAGTGGCCACAGCCGACTGCCTACCCCCTGCCTTAAGTCCGCCCCTGGTACCACGTGAAAATCATCATCGCACTGGGATTACAAGGCTCACGTACACGTCTACTTTAAGAATTAAACGATGTGCACATCCTTCTGTGTCACGCTGCTCACGAGTGATGCCAAGTTCCGGAAACCATTGGCACATTAACACTTCATTTTTGTTTTCATGTGAACAATGAATCGTGAAGTTTGCTTGAAGTGCAACAAACCTTAGCTTAGCGTTCTGTAACTTTTGTTCAAAAAGACACGTATATTGTGTCAATTGTGTGTGGATTGTAAAACAAGAGTAAACTGTAAGGGTCCCATACGTCCAGGACTCCCCGGACGCAACAGGGTGGTTAATTAATATTCATGAGAGAAGCGCTACCTGATTGGTCGGTGAATGTGAAACCTCATTTTATTCTAATCCCCAGACACGTCCTCTTTTTCATCTCACCAAATATAGTTAGAAGAGCTATGAATGCTGGATCATATGTGACTAATATAGAATCGGATTGCCGCATGGTTCTTTTTCATCCATGTGCTACAGTTGCTGTTAAAGCTAATGGAGCAGCCCCCCAGACTGCCCCCCCGCCAAAGCCTGCCACCACACGCTTCAATGAACCCTCAAAAAAGGTATGAAGGACAAATGTGTTTATCTCAGAATAATGAAGCTGTGGTCTGCTCTAAGGTATGGGTTTGTATGTTTGAATATGAGGTAAAGGACGGAGAAGGATCTTTTGGTTCTGAGGAACGCTGAGTGTGTTCCCATCATCTGAGCACATACAGTCATCTGATTAAATAAACGTTGTCATAACCCCAACTCTGTTGAGAAATGCACACAATTCCCTCCATTTTTCCAGCACAGTAACTGCAGCTGCAGACCAGTCAGACTAAGTGTGTCTGACGTCTGCTTCAGCTGCATGAGTGTGAAATGCTGGGCTCCTGGGTGTTAGCAGTATTTATGAACAAAATGAGCAACCAATACAAGTCATCTTTATGTGCAAAAAAACAAAAATCCATATATCTTCCATACATCTTATTCAGTATAGTACAGTAACAAATATTTAAAATCATAATTTCTATAAAACATCCATCCATCCATTTGTCTCCTTGTGAGGTGATGATGGAAACACACTCAGCGTTCCTTCTCCGTTTCGCCTAAGGTGTCCTTTACCTCATATTCAAACGGGGAAGATGGTGGCACAGGAGGTAGTGCTATCGTTTGGCATCTCGAGGGTTGCCAGGTTCAAGTCCTGGTTTCTCCTGACCCCGTCAAAATGTCCTTGAGCAAGACACTAAACCCCAAATTGCTCCCGCTGTGCAGGTTGGCACTTTGCATGGCAGCCTCTGTCACCAGTTCATGAATGTGAGTGTGGATGGTGAATGTGAGGCATGTATTGTAAAGCGCTTTGAGTACTCATAGGAGTAGAAAAGCACTATATAAATGCAGTCCATTTACCATTTAAAACCTTTGAATAACAATAATTTAATAGCAAAAGATGTTTTAAGAGTGTATTGTGTATTTTTAAAGGGTGATGGCAATTGGACAGAAGTTCCGTTTTTCCCCCCCCCACCTGCCATAGAAGAAATCTTGCCCCCCCCACCGCCCGATCCTCCTCTACCTCCTCCACCTTCTCCTCCTGGCCACTGTTTCATGGACACATACAAGCAGCTACCGCGCAGCATGCTGCCCCCTGCAGCTTCGGATGACCTCGACCCGCCTCCGGACTTTATCCCGCCCCCCCCTCCAGCGCATCTGCTGAGCTCAATGGCAGGTGCACCCCTAGCCAGACCTGTGGCTGGCCGGGGAAGAGTGCCCCCCACACCCCCCAAAAGAACCACACCTGTCGGAGCACTGTCTACTAGTAACGGCAATGTGATGTAAAGGGCAGACAAAGGCCATGCAAAGGGAAACAAGCCAGCGATTCAATTAATCGGCCATTACTGCCAGTTTACTCATCCTCTGCCACAATGTGACAATTTATGAATCGTAGCTGCATCACACATGAGCAGCAAATGATGATAAATGTCATGAAGTATGTCTATATATAAATGCACATACCTTTCCATTTTATAGACAAATGCAATCCATTTGTAATGCATTATATTTAAAATGATTATACATATAGTGTATATACAGTATAGTGATGTTTTTGTTAAGAGGAGGTAAATTAACAATATAATAGGAATGATGACATTAATATATCTTAGGACTTGCAATGAGACCATATCGAGACTCTATGAATGCAATGAGACTCTACGTTAACTTAATTTTCAAAGTGCTGCATTAAACTTGTATGTGTTACTTGAATTATGGAATAAATAACTTCACATTATTTTACTGTGTCTTACAAACATTGTACAAAGCAGAAATAAAACATAGAGGAATGTTTTATGGACTGTTTTGGGGTCAGACCATGGTAAGCACTGCCAAGGATAGTCAATTGTGGCAACCAAAGAAAAATTAGGTAATTACCTCCGCAAATATTTTCAATTTACACCAGTTATTGGAAAAAGAAGTGTCTCACTCTAATAGAGGCATAGAGGTACTTTAAATCAGTTATGGGTGATTAAAGTTAATTAAAGTTGTGACTAGGCAATGATATTAGTTTAGTTTATTTATTTATTTGAACAGGGAAAATGTACAAAATACATTAACCTCAAAAAAAGGAGAGATGCTTTGTACCAGGTTCACTATTGCTAATTCACACTTGTAGTCCCTATATATAGTACCAGTCAAAAGTCTGGACACCCATGGAAATGTTTATTTGTACTATTCTCTACGTTTTAGAATAATTATAAAGGCACCAAAAATATAAAATATGATAAATGAAATTATGCACTGACCAAAAATGTATAAAAAAATAATAATTTGTTGGGGGGGGGGGGCAGCTCAGTGGGTAGGGACTCAGAAGGTTGCTGGTTCAAATCCCGTGGTCGGCAGGGTGATCCCACCACTGGGTCCCTGAACAAGGCCCTTAACCCCAACTGCCCCAGGGACTGGCTGACCCTACTGTCTCCTCCATGCCAGGTCCATGAGGCACCTCCTGGGATGCTCTTCCAGCTGTCCTGAAGGAGGTCCCACATAAATGCTGAGCAAACACTGGCCGCTTTTCCTTCACTCTTTGGTCAGACTTCTCAAACCCCTTTCTACTGTGTCTAGATCAGGCGGCCAGGTCATGTGATGCGACATCATCACTCCCCTTTTTTGGGCGGCTTGGCGTGTCCAAACTTTCACAGCTGAGCTGAGTTCAGTGTTATAATGAAGTATTACCCTGGATGTATAACACACTAAAGAGTCCCACCCCCAAGGAATAATGTGACATGAGCACCACGGTACCAGCAGGTACTAGAGCACTTCACTTGGTACTCGTCACTCTTACTGGTGGCATATAACTCCAGCTGAGAATACTACAACCCCGGCCCAGTGACCCCCCCGTTATGTTCCAGACCCATCAGCGATAGGTGAAAATCCGCGATATAGAAAAACCACATAAATAAACATTTTTGTTATAGTTTAATCCTTAAAATACCACCCCCACATGCTTTAAACACATGAAAACTTAGTAAAACACACTTTGCAAACACATACATGTGGATGTCGGGTTAAGGATATGAGTAGCATAATAATAATAAAATGTAATGTATTTCCATATATACACACACATCGCAGAGAACTGTGATTGATCGGGGACAAATAGCGGGGGCCCCGCGATATAGCGGGGGCACGATAGCTGAACCGCGATATAGCGGGGGCACGATAGCTGAACCGCGATATAGCGGGGGCACGGTAGCTGAACCGCGATATAGCGGGGATCACTGTATAACCATTCTCCACATCAATCTGGTTTGTACCTGCAGTTATTAGTACTTACTAATTACCCATACGTAATTACCCATAGTTATTAGTACTTACTTATTAGTATTTACTTAATGTCTGTTACACGGCTAGTTTCTGGCTACCTGTCAATCTCTGGGTGTGCAGGGCTACAGTAATGTATGGAATCAACCACAGCATACATTCAGTAGTGATACTGGTGAAACAGCACAGGTTCAGTGAACAAATGTGCTCAACACCTGACCTGACCGTGCCCCCCCGAAAGACATAAAATGGATATATATATTTACATATATATACATTTATATATATATATTTACACACACACACACACAAAACAAAACCAGTAATCAAAATACATTTCAGTTGACCTTGCAACCAACAAGATTCAATTAAAAAATAGATAACCAGTGGTGTTCATTATTTTAGAAAATGTATTTATTTAGAACAGTGATCAGATGTCATTAGGCTTTTTAGCAGATCCCAGTAAGGACAGATTTGATCTGCACCACAAGGGTTCAAAGGTTACTGAAACAAATTCAGAAAAACAGTTACTACAGTGTTACCATTTACTTAAAAAAATCATACTTTACATAATACATTTTATATTACCACAATATAAGTAAACTTAACATATAATAATGCATATAATAAAATATTATTATGATCATACAGGTTCAATAGATCTAAAAAAACATGACATTAGACTGCTGGAGACAGTCCAAGATGGTTAGATGCCAGTGTGAGGCAGCACACCAAACCTCACTGGCAGTGCTACCAGTTAGGATCCAGTGCAGGTCATATTTAAACTGGTAGCTGAAGGTCATAGGAAGTCTCATAATGGACCCCTATGTGATGGTCCAGCGCGGCTGTGGTGGTACCGAGGTTCCCCCAGGTTCATGCTCGGTGTCACAGGGGAACCAGCTGGGTTCTACGCACCCTTCCCTACAGAGAAACTTCAGCAGGTAGTCGTCCATTTCATTGCCCGTGTATAATTCCTCGTCACAGGACTAGGATGTGCCAGTGGGAATGGGACTATGATTTTCCAGTCCATATAAGGCAATGGGGTGCTGCGGTGATCCCATGAACCCAAACCCCGGACTGCTCACAGCTCCGTATAAAAGCTTTTACTGGCGTTCTTTGGGGGCTGACATCGGGCAGCTGCTCAGCCACCTCATTAGCATTATTAGAGGTCGTCACAAGCCCCTGCACCTGGACGCAGTTGCTGCAGTTATCAACATTATGAGCTCATGTTGCCACCTGCCCTTTGGGCTTCATAAAGCTGAAGAACCCAGGTGAGTGAAGCAGGATCCGATACCTTTTCTAGCATACACCCAGATCTGCTCTGGGGCTTCTCACTGCATTCAGGAGCCCCCACAAGATAACTGAGAAGTTCCAGGTCTGGGCCTTCCTGGAACAGCACTGCCATCAGCCCCATCTACTGGCATTCATGGTTACAATAACAGATATCCCAGTATGAGGATAATTTAGGCCTTTCACAACATACTAAAAGCTGCAACAATCTCCAGTCGACACTCAAAACTTTATAGGAGACCTCTCTGTCTACCTCCTGTCATCCCAGGAATCCCAGTAATGTTGGAGCAGGGTGGCCCTTGATTGTGGAATTTCAAGCAGATAGCGAATGATGTCGTGAACACTTATCTCAGGTTGGAGAAACATCATTGTAACAGACAGCCACAGGCATCTCCTTAGTGTGGAAGTGGCCAGAAGAAAGGTTAGTTGAACCCCCAGAGACCTAGAAATGGCGCCATCTTGATAGGACATTCATCTGAAGTGCCAGTGTCTATGTCTGTCCTTTTACTGGTTGGACTTTCCAGTCAGTATGGAGTGGAATGATGGGAATCCCATGTAGCTGTTCACTGGTGTGGGCTGACCGTAAACTGGAATTCAGTACACAGGCTGAAAGTGGTGTACTCCAGGCATCGATGAGGATCAAGGACCTACTGGCCCAGAGGACCTGAAAGTCCATCTGGTCATCAGGACAGGGCAGGAGGATGCCAAAGTGGACTGCCAAGTCGACGTAGAGCTACAAGTTGATTTAACTGTGTGTTTATGGACTATAGGAGCAACCCAATGTTCCCAGACTAAACCGTTACAAACCCAGAAAGAACATGCATGCTTTGCATCCGCAGAGCCAAGGCCCAAAATCAGACCTGGAGGGGTGGGAGTCCTTCCAACATTAATCACGACTTTTTAAAGTACTTAAGATATATATCAGGTTGGATTGAATTTATTTTACCGCATTTACAAAAGCTGTGCTTTCTGAGCTTATATGGAAATGTACTAAGGAACATGAAAAATGGCTGAATATGACAAGTCAAACATTGACCATAAGAACATCATACAAGAAACAGTAATGAAAATAGTAGTTCGAATGTCTGCACAGTACACAGCTATAGCATTTGAAAGTTTGGGAAAATAATATTGAGATTTTGAAATTTCAGAAAGAAAACACATTTAGACATCAAATTTTAGTATTTTTTACACTTGCCGTGACCACAGTTCCATATCAGCACGTGAGATGATATTTAACATTGCAAAGGTTTGATGATAAATTTCTATATCAACAGTGCAATCCATCCACCCCCTTATCCTGGGCAGACGTGCCCATCCCAGGAAGCATGGCGGTTAGGGTTACAGTATTATCATGCGTCTCAACCTCAGGCAGAAAGCGGCAAGGAACCAAATCCGTACAATCCGTAGATGTTCATTAAGTCTCCTATTGTGCCTTTTTCATCCATACTGGCTTTATAGCAGTCATAACTGTCAATCAGTGATGTCACCCTTATTAAATCTTCTTAAATTAAGAACATTGGGCCAGCGCTGTTGGGAAGGGTACCATGTAAATTTAATTCAAATGACTGATTGGGAATAAATCCTATATAATCCAGATGTTGTTGTGGTTGCACCTTAGACTGAGGCTCTGATAACCAAGCACACGGTTGTGTGGTATATCTCCAGCCACCATTATGACAATTCACATATAGGAGAATGATTTATTATAAAAGACTGTACATACATGTACAAATTAATAGATGGTGACAATATTAAGTTCCCTCACCATTACAGAACGAAATGGTTACAGAATACCTTTAACTGCGAATGTAACAAAACAGACAAAAAGTTTCAAGGCAACAACGTTAGCTGTAAAATCCTGTGTTTTTTTTTTTTTTACATTTATGGTCAAGACACAAACTAGTTCCTTGGGGTTGATTGCCTTAGGAGTCAAACAGGAGATGAGAAAGAATATGCTACAGGTAATAAGAGATATTCCCAAAGGTTTAAAAACAGCTGGAAATCTGTAAAAGGTATTGAATGTTTGAACTAAAAACACACAATGACAGTGACAAAATGGTCATGATGTGCATTAAACTCATTAACTCATTAAATCATATACAAATGCAAATCAGCCCCATTGTCTCGCTTATGAAACACAGCGCAAGATCACCTAGCATTTTGTACTAACAATTCAATATGGCCATTCTTTCAGCCAGCATGCTCAAAGACAAAACGGAGTAGAGGTTAGGCATTTAGAGGACCCTTACGTATGGCCTATATTTACATTTCAGAATGCTGAAGAACCACTGTTAGCAGAGCTACGGGACATCTGATACACCGCAAAGACCAATACAGAAGCTGTCCGTTGTTAGAGAAACATGGTGATGTCGTGTGATTTTGGATTGGTCAAAAACAAGTGTCAGAATGAACATGAAGACTACCAGACTTACGACTCTGCAATAAGCTCTATAAATATACAATTACAGCATAAAACGTCCATGGGGCAAAAACAAAAATTAAAAATTAAATTGAGTGCTCACTGTAAATATTACATCATCTTGGAAGCGTAATGGATTAAACGTCTTCTAAACTGCTTACACACGTCTCAAGCAAGATAAATACATTTCATAAGCGGATTGGACATTTGAAAAACTTTAAACCAGTAGTTCTGACAAAAAAAAAAAAATGATTTGTATTTCACACTCAGAAATCTGGCCTTCTGTCAAATGAATTGCTGTAGGTGACAAATGGCAGTTTAAAACCTGATTAAAAAAATAAAAAAGAATTTTAAAAAAGCAATCCTCGACATGTTGCATATGACATAACTGTTCAGCATAATCAACAGGCACACAGCATTGTACTACCTACAACCTACTGCTCACAGTATATAGAATTTAGTCACATGACAAATTACCACAGAAGTAAGCAGGTTGTCACTCTTTAACACACTCATTCCCTCATCTATCCTTCAATGGTAGGTGTGATTCTTTAGTCCACCGGAATGTTCCAGCTGAACGCTGTCCCATTAATCTGCGTAATGCATGATGGATTCCACGTAGTTTCCAGGAAACAGACCCGTCACACCATTGCAGACACCCTCGAACCAGCCGTCGTCATTCTTCTTGATGATATAGATGATCGCACCCTCCATAAAAGACAGCTCGTCGTCTTTGTCCTTCGAGTAGTCATAAATCGCAACAACTGAATGCAAAACATTAAAAAAGATCACTATTAGGTAGGACCTGTCAAAAACCAAGTTCATATCTGCAGAAAAGGCTGCCTGTCTGGTTACAGCCGCATCTCCCGTTTAAATTACGTAACTGCACCTATTCAAAGCCACACAGAACCATTCGTCATAAAGTGCACGAGAGTCCAGGTGCAACACAAGGAACAGCACTGTGCAAAAAATCAAGTCAAAGCAAGTGTTTAAATCTATTCATCTGGGTACTAAGTGCACTTTTGCTCAGAACAAAAAACACAATTTAACATTGTAAAATGTACGCATATTAAGAATAACACAAAAGCTAGTAAAAATTTCTTCTGTTCTCCAAAATGTTACTGATATCTAGTTGGATGAGCAGATGAACGCCACCTCAGTTCCCAAACCTCTCCTCATGGCACCTCAGCCGTTCCATGGATTTATTCAATTTCACCACCAGCTCAATAAATGAATGTAATTAGTTAAATAAGTCAATGAGATTTTAGCTATAAACGGTGTGCCAGTGGTCGATTATTCGATGTTTGCTGCAAATACTAGGTTGAACTTTTGAAACGGCCAAGCTGACACACGTTGATGGGCATGACAGTATAATTTTATACCTACATGAAGATCATTTAAACAACCTTCCTTGGCTGCCTAAGACTTTCGCACAGCACTGAATGGCTGCTTGACCCGTTGGCTCTTACCCTTTTCCAGGTAGCTCTTGGGGGCCCATTGGGGGTCCCCATCAGCATAGGGGTCGCTGTAGTGCACCATCGCCGTCTCCTCGTCCTCATAGTCCACGGGCGGGGGAGGGGGCGGTGGCGAGTCATCGAACATCAGCCCGTCATCGGGGGGAGGAGGGGGGGGCGGGGCGGGGTTATCTGTTACTGGAGCAACGTGCGGACAGGCACAGCGGTCAGAGCTCGGGAGCAGCGGTAAACCCAAGGAGACTGACAGCGAGTGTGCATGCAGACGCTCAGGGATGGCCCAGTGCCCCACAGCCTGATGGGTAACAATAACCAGCTAAGATGGTTCACCGGCTGCTATGCAGTCCTTCGTATCACCGAAAGTTAACAGCAGAGAGCATCCCAGGGGTCAATCTCGGGCTGCTCTCATCCTAGTGATACCAGGGGGATGTTCGAAACACACCTACAACTGATAATTGTGCGGGGTTTGTGGGTGATTTTCCTGTCATTGGCAACAGTGGCAACGTTAGAGACGAGACACAATGCAGACAAAACTACAGAGTACGAACAGAGGCGGCAACGTCGGCTGACCCAGGGACAGGCCTCGTCGCCGGGCATTCCCCTCAGACACAGCTAGGTGGCACTACTTGCGTCATGCTAAGTGGCATCGATGTTGACTTACTGTTCTCCTGCACCCTGGCCACAAAGCCTGTGAGGGGTATCTGGGGAGTCAGCTGAGGCATGGGAGGTGGAGGGGGAGCAACAGACACTGGAAACAGAGACGCAGAAGTCTGAGGGAGGGATTCAAACGAACAACCGAGCAGCCAAACGAGGATCAAAGGGCTACAGACGAATGCAAGGGTAAACAAAAACAAAAACACTGACGGGGGTACAGAGGCAGTGGCCCTTGGACACACTGAGTAAAATAAATCGATATTAAATAGCCATTTCCTGACAGACATTCCTGAACATTAAAGACGAGATCTGAGTATTGATTGCCCGAGTGTCCACTGGGAAAAAAGCATTCATATTCATTTTTCAGTCATTATGGGCGTTAAGTCAGTTTCGGTGTGGCCAAACTTAAATATGCTCTGCATATCCAGCTTTCCGCTTGAGCCAGTCCTTCAGCTGAGGTTCTGCAGCATGATCTCTGCTGCTCTCTAGCCTCCGGCAGATGGCTGGGGGCAACAAAAATAAATAAATGGCTGTCTTTCCCTAGGCTACACCCATCATGAACAAGTGACCCTTCTCCAACACCCCCACTGACTCAAAGATGAAGGTTAACTCCGCTCTTAGTATCTTCCAAACCTCACACCCACATTAAATATAAATAGTGCACACACCCCTGTTAAAATGGCAGGTTTTTGTGATGTAAAAAAAAAAATGAGACTTACTTTTCCCACCTTTAATGTAACCTATAACAATTCAGTTAAAAAACAAATATGTCAAGGGGAAAACCTACACAAAATAAAAAATAAAAAAAATATTTAAAAAAGTACAATAAGCTGGCTGCATAAGTGTGCACACCCTTAATCTAATGCTTTGTTGAAGCACCTTTTGATTTAATTACAGCATTCAGTCTTTTGGATACACACCTGCCATCAAGTAAAGTGACTGATTAACCCTAAATAAAGTTCAACTATCCTAGTAGGATATTCCTGACATTTACTCAGTTGCATCCTACAGTGAAAGTCATGGGTCGCAGAGAGCTTGCAAAGCATCAAAGGCCATCTCATCGTGTCAGTCAGGAGAAAGGTACAAAAAAAATTCGGTGGAATTACATATACACAAATATATAAACAATTTGTAAACAAAGGTATTAGTTTACGGGTGTGCACACTTATGCAACCAGCTTATTGTACTTTTTTATTCTTTATATTTTCCCCCCTAACACTTTTGTTTTTTTCCCCCAATTTAATTGTACAGGATATTGGTTAAAGGTGGGAAAAGTTTTGAAATGATTTATCGTGGTCTCATTTTTTTACATCACAAAAACCTGCCATTTTAATTTCATACCCATCGCAACATCACATGAACAGACATAATGTCCACAGACAACAAATGTCTCTTCATTCTCACAAGTTCACAGTCTGTTTATTCATCTATTAATTTCTATTTATATCATATTAATATATGTATGTGAACCTGAGGCCAGATTTGCCTCGTTTAAAGCCAGTGCCTTCAGTCGTATTCTGAACAAACACGATGTACAGAATGCAAGACCAGGACAGCTTCCATCGTATTTCCTGTTTCTCTTATCGCGCTAATTATTCATTCATGTTTCAGCATCTAAATCTACGGTTTATCGGCGCACTGGGAATTCAAATCAAATTGGGCTAGAGGCGGATCCTTATAATATCTTTACTTAAAATTACTTAAAATCTGTGATATTTTGCTCATTGTTGTTTTTTTTTTTGGAAAAAAGGCAGTCCTTGTATCAATTCCACGTGCCTGAAAATTTTATACTCGCTTTGTAGCGAGACAAACACCGAAATCTAAATGTTATGGTATTTGTTAGATAAAGCTCTCTTTAACAAGAAAGAGACACATGAAAGTTGCACATGAAGCCCACACACACTCAGTAAATGTGCATGCAGCTATGGTGGACGGTTCAGATCCAGGAAGTACAAATCCAGACCAAGATTTTGTTCCAGCCAGCCAGTTAAGTATAAAGACTCAGCTGGTTGCATGAAACAAAACCTTGGTCTGGATTTACACTTTCTGAACCTGAACTTCCCACCTCTGGATAGGGGCTCGGCATACTTCAGGGGAATCTTGTACGTGTTGGAGCGTGGGAGCTGGGCCTTACTTGCGTTTGGAGGGTAAACGGGGCCGCCGTTGACATGTGGCTGGGGCAGCGAGAACTGCGAGGAAACAGAAGGCGCGCGGCGGTATGTGCCCGTGGCGGACAGCGTGGAGGCAGACGAAGTGCTGGAGTTGTGGCGCGAGATTTGCCGGGAGATGGTACCAAACTGGGACATGGGGATAGGTCCGAGGCCAGGCCCTTGAGGAACCGAGGATACTGTGAGGGAAAGGGAGAAGCAGAGCATCCGGTCAGAGAGCATTGTAGGTCAGAGCAGAATATGGCAACCCATCAGCAAAAGCAAGTGGGAACACCTCTAATCAGGGTGTCTTGGAGACCACAGAAAATCACATATACGATATGCAAGAACCTCTCTCTCTATCATCCTTAATGAGGCTACCGAGAATCAGCTAAACCTGCAAGCCAAAACCACGGCGTAGCTTTGTCTCCTTCAAGCATTCGACTAGTGTGCAAAACAAATTGCCATTAATCATGCATCGTAAAAATTGCCAAACCACCGCATAACGAATAGGCAGAAATATAGGAATATGAGGAAATAAAAGTTAAAATTTCACTACAGTTCTATACAAATCATTTCCATCAACTCTTTCATAATGCTCTGCTAGCACGCAGAAAGGAGAACACGAGACCAAGCTAAAATAGCGCTAATACCTTGGGAATAGAAAGCGAGCGTTTTCTGAATCTCACACAGAACCCACACGTGACCAAAATAAAAACTGCAGGCAACAGCATGGTTGTTAATTCAGTGATTTGTTGCGGTTTAATTTAAAATAAATTAATGAGTCCAGCAACTTAAGATTTATAAAGTCAATGCAACCTATCCCCTCCCCCCAAGTCCTACTAGAGAACAACCTGCGCTCCATTGTCAATGACCTGGATGTGTTACTATGGCGACAGGGTCCTCTGCGCAATGGTTCTATTCCTGGGGTGTGGCCCCATCCTGTCACTGGTAGGGAGTGCAGGTTGATCTGTCCCACACCTCTCCCTCTGACAGGCTGGACAAACGTCCCCACATCCCTCACAGGACTGCATGGCCCAATTCGCTAGACACACACATATGCGCGCGTACACACACACACACATCACACACACACACACACACATACACAAACTTCCGCGTTTCTTACTTTTTACAATTACAATGAGCGTTGAATGAAGACGCAGACATCATGGAAGGTAAAGTTGTTGTTTCAAAATGATTCTGGCATTTATACAGCTATTTTAATGATGTATTTCAGATCAACAATCTGCATAAAGTGGTTAGATTAAAAGCATCAACTACGTGCATAAATAACACACATAACAGCAGACATCAATAAACCCATAGATGTTAATTTTATAGTAAGTCCATTATTAAAAAGCCACTGTATTACAGAGAATGCGATACACAGACAGTCAGACAGACAGTCGGGCATAACACAGGTTCAAGACTTTCAGTGACTGTGTTCATCCAGATATTCACCTTGTGTGTCCATTTGCCACCATTAGTAATATGTGCTCATTCACCCATAATGCATTTGACCACAGTGTGGTGTACTGTTGATGAGCCCACTGACTGCCAATTATCTGCATACTGCTAGATGCGTTTGGGGAATCAAATACCTAACATTCTTTCCACAGCAGGTCCAGAAGCCAAAGATTAACATGAATGTTTGTCAAATACCTTAAATGCGCGTGGAAAGTTTTCACTCTCCCAGAAAAATCATGAAACACTAGGGTTAGCTAAACGTGGCGATCCCTGACTTAAAGAATACATTTCACGTGGCTCCTATCAAAATGACAAGAACCTTAATCATTTGTGCTCGTCATATGCAGTTTGTAACCCCGAGCTCAGAATCCAAGATGGCTGCGCATTTTATCAACAGAAGTTAAAGCTGTAGTTTTATACTGTTTATTAGCACTTATGTCTTATTTGTGGCTCATTAAATCGGTCTTACACACAGTTTTGTCCAACCGCATGTGCGAAATACAGAATAACATGTTATCAATGGCTAACAGTCAACCTGAAAGAACTGGGGCTTATCTCACAGAGCAGGATTTCTTGCTTAGCCAGTTAACTTGTCAGATTTAAGGTGGTCTGGGCTAAATGCAAGTGAACGAAGATAAAGGCCATTTAATCTGGGGTACCTTAAATCTAACTAGTTGTCCAGCTAAGCATGAAATCCTGCTGTTTGAAACAGGTACCTGGTATTGCTAAATGTCTTTCCGACTCGTACGAGAATGCGGGCGACTCAAGTGTGACGTCTTTCCCAGCTCTGAGGTAAATGGAACGCCGCATTGGGTTTGGGAAAAGGTGTGGCCTGCTCTGATTGGATCAGCACGGACCACATGACAGAGACTGCAACGTGGTCGGGGCTCACCAGGGGGCATGCTGGGAGGGGAGGGTGTTGGCACAGCGATGGGCAGTCCGATGCCGCTACTACTCCCACTGTTCTCACGGCTACCGCTGCCCCCGCTGCTGCCACTGTAGAGAGAGGACAGAAATGTGGCTAAAGACTAGAGTGTCTCACACACAAGGTACCGCATACTCTGGGTGTCAGCGATGGGTTAATTTTCCTCTCACCCCCAGTGGGGGCCCCAGGAATGAACCATGAATCATCTCACCCAAATTCTCTCTGTAAGGTATATAACAATGGGGACAGCTCACTATTCTCAGAACTTCTCCATTCCAGAATTTATTCCTGCCAACATCTTAATTATTAGTGATATAGAAGTATTAAGAATCTAGAGCTTGTTACATGTGTTACTGGCCAAAAGCCAACGAAACGTTCGACCAAGTAATATAAATTAATATTCAACGCATTCATAGCAAGACCCTAAAATGTTTGGAACTCGTGTGTGCTTTAAACAGAACTCAAGGTTTCTGGTACAAAAGAGGAAAAAAAAACCCAAACATTACAGTTTACATGCATTTATTTAGCTCTAAGTGAGAAAAATGTTGGGATCAAACAGCAGGGTCACCCCGAGTCACTGGAGTGATTGGGGGTTAGGGGGGCTTGCTCAAGGGCCTGGGGGATTTGAACCGATGACCTTGCGATCACAGGCAAAGCGTTCCAACTCACTGATCCAGTGTCAGGGTCTAACAGGAGAGAGCCTGTTAATTACAAGGCTGGTCCAGAGTAAGGTCTTGTCGTAGAGGCGAAATGAGTCAGGCGGGGGGGAGCTGAAGCTTGTGTTACATCAGCTATGGGGAAACCCCAGAGATCGAGGGGGTGCGGGACGGTACCTGTGGGTCCGGGGTCTCTGGTTGAGTGAGGCGGTGCGTCCCGGACTGTGCTGACTACCCAGGCGAGCTGGACTGGTCATGTAGTCAGTGGGAACTGTGGGCGGCTTTACAGGCTCCAGAGTTTTATAAGGCGTGTTCCGCCTGACGGGGAACATACAGCATGTGAAGCAACACCATGTTTTAAAAATAAATAAATAAAAATTAAAAATGATAAAGGAACAGCCTGCAGAAAAATCACACGCATTCACTAAAGACAAATGCATCGAGAATTTATTGCAAAGTTCAATGAACAGGGAACCGTTCCTGATACTGCAACCCGTACACAGCTTGACAATGTGCGGGAGTCAGGTCGAGGCTGTATCATTCGCCTACCCGAGGGTGCCCCGTCCTGCCATTGGAGGGCTGGGCGGCTTCTGTGTGGGCGGATTGGTCCTCGAGAGCGTTCCCCCACCTCTGATTGGTTGGTTGTTCCCATGCTGCAAGGCAAAAATGATGGTAAGACTGCAGAACTCTCAGTGTGGTTGCCAAAAAAATAAATAAATACAGAAAGAAATCCGGAATCTTCATGGACTAGAAGCGGATGCCAAATGACGTTTGCCAGATACTGCGGTACAACGGAAAACAAAAAAGGCTGACTAAATAAGAATCACACTTGAAGAAGATGACTACCTACTGGACAGCAGTATTACCTAAAAGCCAGTTTTTAAATATGTGAATTTGATGAAAATATATATTCTTCGATATTCTAACTATTCATGGGGAAAATGGAAAACGGATCATTATAGACAAAAATTGTGTTAGAACGCAGCATGAAAATGGTCCTTTTTTTTTTTAAATACAAGCACATTTATGATGTCTTGTCAAAACATGAATGAATTCTGCAGCTGTATCAAACTCTCTGCTCGCTAAGCAGCCAATGGAGGTGCGAGCCCGGGGCGGGTCGGATGCTTGCGGCGAGGCATTGCAGGGGCTAGTGCAGCATACCTGTAGCAAAAGCAGCGTGGATAATGAATTCTTACCTTAGCCTTTAGCCACTTAGCATGGGTGGGGGGAAAGGCAGCGAGAGAGAGAGAGAGAGAGAGAGAGAGAGAGAGAAAGCACATGTCAAATGGCTAGCCTGAGAAAGACAGTGCAGCTACTGATATACAGAACCCCCCTCCCCACCACCCCTCCCTGTGCAACCCCCTCAGCAGTTGATATAACACAATGCTGCAGATACACAGTTGCGGATTACGGCACGACTAGACAGAAAATAGATATATGGATCCATCAGAATGCACCTCACTCCCTCAAACTTGCTGTGGTGGGGGTGCGGGTGTCCCAGCATTTAGACCCGGTAGATTAAGGATTTCCTACAGAGCCAAAGCCACAGGCGCAGGAACGTGGCTTACATGCTGAAAGAGTCAGAACAGATACCCCATCGGACGACATTCTCAGTAGAGGGTAAGTAGGAACACAAAATGGTGTGTAATTCCTGCTTCTGCCTAAAACAGCCAGAATGGCATAAATGGTCCCATTATAAACGATTTACAGAATCTCTCTCTCTCTCTCAGGTTTCCTGCAGACTATATCAGACAGGACGAAATCGGCTCATCTGAAAGGGTGCAAAGAAGCACCAGACAGTCAGTCATTTACGGAGGGAACAGTATCCCGACCAACAGTGAGTCAAACAGACAAAACGTGTGGAGATGTCCAGTGAATCAAGTGCACATCAGTTCCCGATCCTTCAGCTCACTGTCAACACAGGAATGATGCATTGAAATAGGGAGTTATGCAATCAAGCAGTTAAGGAACTGTACTTAGGACCAAGAGCCTTACAAGGTTCCCTGTTGGTGTATCCTGGAGTTCTGCTACAGCAGGGGTGCCCAACTCCAGTCCTGGGGGGCCGGAGCCCTGCACGTTTTTGGGTTTCCCCTCATTTAACACACCTGATTCAACTCCTAGTGCTAATTACCACACAACTCCTGAGCTGAATCATTTATGGTGGAACAGGGGAAGATCTAAGCTACACAGGGCTCCGGCCCCCCAGGACTGCAGTTTGACACCCCTATGCTACAGCAATATACAGTTGCACAAGACACAAAAAAAAAACAAGACAATATTTAAATACAACAATATTTTGAACCATATTTAGAATGTGTCTAAATTGCTAAAGTGTTTGTAGATCCTATGATGGACTGGCATCCTGTCCACGGTGCTTGTGCTTTCTGGAGAAGGATCCAGAATTATTATCAGTGATTAAAGAAAAGTGGATCGACATGATTAGTATAGATAAAGACCTACTGCGACGAACAAAAAAAAAATAAATCTGCTAAAAAATTAGCCAGCCAATCGTGCCTGGTAGGAGTTCCAAATATATACTATGACATCATCGTGAAGTCTTTCCAAGCGAACACACACTGGCTCCAAGGCCTGGGCTTCCTGGCATCGAAGCCTGCATCATATCAAATGCAATTAATGTAATGCCTGCTTCTGTCAGCAACAAGATCCTCTTTACAGAAAGTAGCACTACGGGGGGGGGGGGGGCCTGGTGGAAGATTTTTCGCAAAAAGAGCATAAAATGAGAGAAGGGGGAAATGCAGATGAAAGAAACCGATTTAAGACTATCATTTGCGTTTTTTAGATCTGGTTAATACGCATGAGCAAACAGGCTGTGCTAAACGGCGCAAGGCGAGCGTTTAGCGGCTCCGTGTCAGACGCACGAGGGACGACCTCCTTTTCCAGGCCGGCCGAATGGGTCTAGGAACGCGTCAAGGTCAAAGCCGTCCCCATCAGGAAGGGAACCGAGATCTGTGAGGAGGAGGAGCGGCGTCTAGGCACTGGGCTCACCCTCCAGAAAGCGCTGCGACGCCGGAAGCTTCCCTGCACTCGCTCCACTCCATCACAATCACAGCAGATAGGCGTCCCAAAGAAGGCGGGACTTCCTGTCTGCGCATGCGGCCCGCATGTCACTGAGCTACCTCGTCAAGTTTCTTCTCTCGTTTACGTTTATACAGCCTGGGGGAAATTTTTGTATTTACTCATAGCCAAAGAATCCTCTGTTCAGTGTCTCCGTTTAGTTTTGAGTGTCAGTGACACTTCATAGCTTGTTTATTATGTTGCTTAGCAGGGCATTTTAATCCAAACCTAGAATTTTAGCCATTTATACAGCTGGGAATTGTTTTGTGTTTTTTTTTTTCTGGAGCACTGAAGAGATCACGCTCTTCCCAGCAACCCAACGGTGTCCAAGAGTCTAATAGAATGAAGCATGAACCGTGAAGTTGCCAGAGCGATGTTGAGCTCTCCATCTGGAGAGCTCGAGACGTTCTCACACACAAGCGAACACTCGAGCCAGATCCCAGTGAATTTTCTGCCAAAGAAATAGCAACAGGTCCGAGACACAGTGTCCCGTGAAGAACGCAGTAAGCACTGGTAATAAAATGAGAGAAATCCAGGAACGTGACCCGTTTATAGCATCTTCATATATGACATACGAGAATATGATATGATACGATGTCTTTATGATTCAATAAAGGGTGATATGGAGCATAAAACCTTTCCGCTTACCCATCATCTACATGGAATGAGATGCCAGGCAGTAAATTGCTGCAGGATTCGATCAGTCTGACAGGATAAATTGCCTCTGTGATTTATGGATGGATGAGACTAAGGAGTAGACCTTATAGCAGGGATCTCCAAATCCGGTCCAGTCGGTTTTCAATCCTACCCGGCTTCCGATGACCCACACCTGTTCTCAGGTAAATAACAGGAGCAGGTGTGGCTCATCAGAAGCCAAGTAGGATAGAAAACCTACTGGATAGTAGCTCTCCAGGACCGGAGTTGGAGACCCCTGCCTTATAGAGTACAGTCACAAGGTGCTGATGTTATTAGTGACAACCATGCTCTGAGGTCTGTCCAGTGCGGGTGTCTACTTACAAAAGGCTTTCTTGGCAAATAAGGAAGCCTTCAAAAGAAAGAACGGACTCCCGGAGAGGATGTCGGAGAGACAAGGTCAGTCCTGCTTGGCCATTAGGAGACAAACCCCGCAGCCTTTTCCTGTATCTGGTAGCGCTGCCTTCCTGCACCCGGCCACAAGCTCTGTCAGCAGATCTCCTGGCTCTATCACAACACCTATGCCCTGCTCATCATTTCTCCTCTTTGGTCACAGGAACATATCAACTGGAATCGATAGATGACTGGAATCGCTAAACTCAACCAGAAACCCAACTAAAATGAGAAGATCATTGAGAAGTATGAAAAAGTACGGACAAGCACATATACCGCTACTGGCCTACCTTGACCCCATGGCCCACGTCATCCAGCACAGTGTAGTCAATGGGTTTCCGGATGTATCTCACTGGCCGCTCCATGTTGGCGGGGGCGATGATTTTGTGGGTTCTCGATGTGTTCTTATTCGTGGTCAGGATGCCGATCTCGCGCCTGGCCACCTTCTCCTTGTGGATGTCCACTGTCTGTAGAGGAAGAGAGCAGCAGAGAGAGAGAAGCGACCAGGCTCAGTATGAACACTGACTGGGAGCTGGTTTTACTCAGTTATAGGCTAGTTAATGGGACTGAGCACGGATGCGATGTCTAGGTACACTGCAGAGTTAATAGACCACAAAAAATGCATTTCAGGAAACAACCGAAGACTAGTTGTATGAAGACCACGATGGCGGCAGAACACGGGACTCCACACGATGGATGGGGGAAGAAAGAACAAACATTCAAACGGAGATCATGTTGATGGTCAAATCTACATCTAGCTGATCAGTAATCTGGTAACCATCAGTCTGATCCATGCATGCAGCTGTACTGCCCCTTTAGTCAGGGGAGAACGGTCAGTGATGTTACTGATCAATCGAATAATTTGCTGCCGTTATGTGTCTGCTTTATTAAAACCGTTAAATATAAATGCGTGATGGAAATCCAAATAATTTAAGACATAACAATATACACCATACGTGGGTAACAATGAAAAGGTGCAGGTGGGTTTTAAGTGGGAAGAAAATACTGCTTGACTTGGAATGTCATATGGAATGATGGATATACCTGCTAAATTGTGTGTTTTCGGACGTACCTGCTAAATTATCAGATTTATGGCAATCTATGCTGATCTGTGTCACTGTATACCAACATGATGTAGACTATACATAATTTACGACACAGGTTAAGCAACGTCTATTTCTAAGAAGTGCAGTGCAATGTAACGCGAAATAACATTCAGAATATCCCGCGGTTTGTATATCTTTGTATATTTGAACTAGTGGCAAAACAAAAAGCGTGTTTGTTGTTGTCACGCTTCTCTGGCTCCAGTTCCCGTGATGTGTTTAACGCCATTATGGTTTGGGGAGTATGGTGCTATGGAGGGGAATTGGTGCCACCTTGAAACGCAAACACGACTCCGGCATGATGGAAAAACAATCGACGTGACGTATAGTGATCACGTCTGTCTGGGTGAAATTGATCACTATAAGCGGACGATCATTATAACAGGGTAGCAGTTTGTGGATTTTGGCCTCGTCCATCCAATGGTCAGTTACAGCCACCGCCTGCTGCAAATTACAAAATCCTCACTTATAGCATCACATTCTACCTGCTGGAGCAGGGAGGATATTTCTCGCCTAAATATTTCTGTAAAAGACATTCAGAAGTCAATTTAAGAGCGACTCGAGACATGCAAATACACGAACACAGAGTGCAGGCAGAATCCAAAGCACCAGCCTTGTAATGCATTGCATTAATAAATTTCTTGTTTCAATTTCTGTTGTCAGGCATAACTGGGAGATAATGTCCATCAATTTCAACTCCTGAAATGGCTTCAAAGTGTTACAAATTATAATTCAAATTTAACAGTTTGAGTAAATAATTAGCTGTTACACTTGATTAAGAACATGTTTTATGTTTACATGTGATGCAACCGGGGGGAAAAAAATTGAGAGACCGTTCATGCTTGGAGGAATTCTCAGTGAACTATATGGAAATCTGATTAAATACATGGTAAACCTCCATCAAGCTAATGCCTTCTGAGTGAATGATGCTAAATCTAACATTTTTCGAATCCCTTTGTTCCAGGTGCAGCTTATTTCATCGGCGTGTCAGAACTGCACCAGGTGCACGCTACGGTGGCCTGTTCAATGAGCAGATCAACACGCCAGGCCCGTTAACTCCAATGCGTCGCTTCTGAAATCACACGCTGTCACTGCCTTAATATCCACGAGGTCTAGAAATAGCTTCATGGCATTATTTATAGGCGAATGGTCACACCTGGTCCGACGAGCGACAGAACCAGCATGGGTAGGATTTCTGCGGTTTCCGGTGCATGAAGACGGACCAGGCCTCAAGCCAAGAACCCTGCTTTGCAGATCGCTATGGCTGTATGGAGGTCGGCGCATCCTTCCCGGAGCATATGCACACACACACACACCCACCCTTTAACCGCAGCACACAGAGAAGGGCCAGCACAACACAAACACTCTGTTGACACGCACGCAAAAATTCAACAAAGCATCTTCCCACTCTCGCCACGGTCTATGGTGAACCGCATGTCACACTACAAGTAGATCACAGGCACACAACGAGGTCAGGCATTTTTCTTCCTTCTCAGGTCAAGCTTTGAATGAGCTGGCAATACGCATTTTGTTGGAAGACCCTTCCATTGCAGCGAGACAACATGTGATATCAAACTAGAGTATGGGAAGAATTTCCTGGAAGCAAACACCAGCATGACACCTGTTGTCAACCACAGTGGAGTCCTGCAGGTTCCCAAAACCCTTTTTATATAGCAGGCCTGCCAAATTCAGAACAAAGGCCTTCTGTGTATATGTGTTAAGCGCATAGCATGACGAAACAGTCCCAACACGATTCCCTTTAAACGCCATTGGCGTGATTCAGTTATGAGATAAGAACTACTCTTAGAGATGCGCTTTTTTTGATGCTGCACAGGGCAACTAAACCAATAAACACCAAATATTATGCCAGAAACCACAAACTGCTAAAACAGAAGCACAGAGAAACAGTGACGGTCACAGGATACAAAAAGCATGGGGAGCCCCAATCACCCCTGGGCCTATTCGCGGAAAACGAAGGGCGAACGGGTGCCGGGTGGAAGTGCCAGTACAGTACAACACACCCTATAATTTCACTGCAAAATAAATAAAGACAACATTCTCCCTTGGCCATATCAAATTATATAGCATAATTCCCCAACCCTCACACTGGCTGCCCACCATATATACCATTCTTGGGTGCATGTGACCTTACAATAAAGCTTCACTGAGATATTTTGCCCCAAGGACATACAGTGTGAAACGAGGCTCGGAGCAGCACAAAGATACAACCAGCGATGATCTCGGCAGTTTGCACGTGCATTAGTCACAGGGACAGGAACTGGAAGCAGATACTGTCTGAGTCACACACACCTCTGACTGCTCGAAGCTCACCAATGGCCGTCCAGAAAGAGGCCAAATCACTGCCACACTCTGATTCCCTCACTGCATTAATGGATATCCGCCACACTGGCAAATTACACACAGTGAATTACAATTACCTCACTGTAAACTTAGTACTAAACCGTAACATTGCACCGCTGGAGCCATCTTATGAACCATATGCACTATATATGCATATTAGGGATGCTCCTTTTGACCGTTTAACCGTTAACCGAAATAATTAATTTTGACCGAATATTACTATCAGTTAAACGGTTTAAAATGTTTTTATATATATTTTAATTATTAGTAGTAGTATGAAGTTTTGTGGCATCTCAGCTGAAGATCGCTTTTCACGTTCTAAATACACTGGGTTTGAATCTGCGACTGTGATTACAGGCACACAGGCTTAGCCCACTGAGCCATGAACACAGGTACGAGCTTTGCTGCTGAAAATGGAAACATTGGAGCAAAGCTTCAGCGGCAGAGACGTATCCGTGTGCTATATTGTAGCCGATCGGTGTAAACACTACCCAGACATGTGCTCTTGTTTTATTTCGGTTACAATGGGCGTATTCACATATTTCTTTATCCAATACTAACTGTCGGATTATCATGTTGTTATCATGAGAATAGCGCAATTTGCAAGTGGGAAGGCGATCAGAGCTGCTTCGAGACGCAGACGCTTAAGTCAGTCACTCTTGTTCTTTCTATTCGTATCACGAAGCTATAAAAATATATTTAGTTTCTACCTATATATATATTTGAAAAGTAGACCGTCCAAGGTTTCTGAGGGTGTTTTTTAAATGTGTATATGATAAAACCTCGCAGAGTTATTTAAATGGTTTGGCGAAATTTCTGTCAGATCCCGCCGGCGGGACCGCCGACCCCAGAGGAATTTAATATTCTAATCTAATCAGTTAACGGTTAATGTTCGGTTAACGAACGGCGGTTGTCGGTTGGGAAAATTAATCGAAATGAGCATCCCTAATGCATATGCACATATACATTGTATTGATGTCTTCATATTGTATATTTCTATTGTTTTTAATTGAGTACTACAGGGAGGAGTTGCACATAAAGTAATCCAGTTCAATTCAATTCATAATAAATATAAATGTGTTTCAATGAAACATGGCTGTCTCAGACTTAGCCTGCACCGACTCTGTCCCATTTACACTAGGCAGAGGCAAGGGAAGAGCAAGGGGGGGATAGTATTGGTTAAAAAGAACCCATGAAACTGAAAGTTTATTGGTTCAAGAGCTCAGAGCACTAGCGGTGAACAGATTCAGTGAAAATATACAGTTAGGAAAGAGAAAATACAGTAATAGGCACTGAGACAAGTCCACAGTGAGAACAATTTTTGTTGAACTTTTTACGAAAATGTTCTGGCACACATACTTCACCTTGCTGTTACAAAAGGAGGTCAGATCACCAGCTCTGGAACTTCATTTGGAATTTCATTTTTACCTCACTGCAAAGTAAAATGCACCTTGGAAAACACCTTGAAGCTGTCCCATGTTTACAAACACTTGGGAAGGATCAGGCCACTTGAAAAGACGAAATCCTATAGGGACGCGGCAAACTGTGGCAGGACCCGAGATATGCATATTCAATGAGACAGCCGTGAGAACTCCCAGGAGACACCAAACTGAGCGCCGAGGATTGTGTGTGCGCGCGTGTGTGTGTGTGTGTGTGTTTGGACAAAAGATTGAGCATGACAGAAAATGAATCCTCAAGAGACGTGAACGACATTGAGAGCTGTGTAGTCACCCAGATAAACGCCCGGCCTACATTACAGAAAGTACTTCGACAATCACGTGCATGATAAGGAGGGAGAGGAACGTGGGGAGAAAAAAAATAACAAGCGAAAGAGATTAACACAAGCCAGGGACTGGATGGTCAGAGCCCACAGAAGTCCAGCAATGTAAAGATCTCTGTACACTGCATTCTCGTCGATCAGGGTATTGGTTAGAGTTGGGAAAGATATTTACGGATTCCCCCGAAGGACCAATAGAAGTATCACAAAGTGTGGAACACCTCCGAATGCATGAATCAGTGGGGGGGCGACTGAAATGTCCTTATTACCAACCTCTAATGGGCAACTCTAGAGGTGTTTTAGTGACCTGATAAGACAGTTGGGTGTTTAGTGAAGGAAAGGAAAGTGGGAGGGAGAAGGGGATGATTCTGTGCGTCCAGGACCCTAATGGCGGGTGAACAAAGCTCTTGCTGTTCAGTGCTCTTTTGCAGCCAGTTCATGTAGTGCGGTAGATACCAGAAGTTCATTTAACAGTCGAGTCTCCGCCGGCTGAAAGAGCCGCAGGCCCCTTCCGAGGTACAGAGGTGCCACTGAGGGACTAAGTTAAAACTTTAAATAGCAAAAAAAAAAAACATGCAGAAATTGTGACTGACGACACAGCAATGACACATCTGGATCGCAGGCCAAAAAACGAGAGTGTAAAATCTCGTGTGGGTTGTGGGAATCCCAATCCGGTCCTTGGGGACCCACAGCCGGTCCACATTTTTGCTCCCTCCCAGCTCCAAAAACATGAACTGTCTGCGGGTCCCCCGAGGACCCGATTGGGAAACACTGCTCTAGGGATAAGGAGGGTCACAGTTGAGACATCTTGGAGAAAACACTAAAAGCTCCTTTAACCCTTTATGTCTCAGATTCACCATGGGGCTCCATAAAAATTGCATTCTAAATAAGTGGAAGTCCAGGAATTCCTAAGAGTTTCCCGAGGAATGTAAAAGACAGCATATGCAGTACTATAAAATTTCAATCCTTATAACTCAAGGCGAAAAACTAAAAGCCACTTGAGACCTGTGAGATATTAAATAAAACACCATTACTAAATGAGTCACTAGCAGCCCATGTCCTGCAGCATTTTCCAAAATGTTATCTGTTTTCCGCAGCGAGGAACACGGACGACTGCCTGCGTCACCCCCCAGCAGACTGTCAGTCAGCTGTAACCTCCCATTCCCCCCCAGCTGGCTTTAGCGCAGGTTGCCATGGATACACGCTCTACACATGCATAGGCCCAGGAACCGAGGACCAGAAAGGCTTTGTGTGTCCTCAAGGGTTCTGGATCTCATCACATAAAGAAGAACACCAAGCAATGACAGAGCGGCTGAATAGACAGGGATGTTTAAAAACATATTTAAGCATTAAAGCAGCTGCACAATTGCTCAATGAATAATTGACGACAGCACGACATTAATAATTGAATATATCCTTCCCTCCACTTTCACGCTCCAACAAAAGACCAGGCTAAAGAACAAGACCTCAACATTTCTATTTCAGAATGCCATTTTCAGTTTGAAAGTGAGCCAAATTCGGGGCAAAGTCCTCAACCCCCTTGGAACCATTCTGAAAGTTCTGTCCACCCCATTTGTCGCCACTCTCTCTCTCAGCCTCTCACTGCCTCTTCACCTCCATATGACCTTTGGGCCACTCAAATAGCAACCATTCAAATTAAATTATACTTGTGCATGCTCTGCAATTTAAATTTTCTTATTTTCTTTCAAAAGGCTCTGCCTTTTGCCAGGTCACAGTTGCAAATAAGAAACCCGTTCTTAATCTGTCTTGCCTGGTTAAATAAATCGTAAATTAAGAAGCATGTGTACGTAAAATCGTGTGAGAAGAATTTAGACCAGGGGTCTCAAACTCCAGTCCTGGGGGGCCGGAGCCCTACACAGTTTTTGGTTCACCCTCATTTAACACACCTGATTCAACTCCTTGTGCTAATTACCATGCAGCTCTTGAGCTGAATCATTTGTGGTGGAACATGGAAAGAACTAAGCTACACAGGGCTCCGGCCCCCCAGGACTGCAGTTTGAGACCCCTGATTCAGACAAACACTATGAACTAAATTAAACGAGTGTCTGCAATCCAGTTTTGAGAATGCAGCAACGTGTAGCTCAGCGGCTTAGACATGTGTACGTGCCTTGAAGGTTGTGGGTTCAAATCCCACGGCTGGCAAAGTAATCGAGGCCCTAAACTCCAGCTGAGCTGAGGTTGCTGCTTGCTATGTGTTTGTCATTTTGGACAGAAGTGTCTGTTCATTGTGTAAAATAAAAAGACGAAACGTCTGTGTCACGTGCGTGCAGGCAGGCGAGTAGAGCCGGTAATACGCACAAACAGGGTTTATTACGGGATCCGGGCAGAAATCGACCATCAAACATGACAATACAATGACAGAACTGGGGAATACTGACTGAGACACGGACTAAATACTCAAGACAGGCTGAACTGAACAAGCAACAGGTGATCACAATCAGGAAATAACACCAGGTAACGAGGGGGGCGTGGCACACAGGAGGATCGGACGAGCCGGGCGTGACAGTCTGACAGAAATGGTATGTAGTGCTTCAGGGTTAGCAGATTTTATCAGACGGTTTTTGATGTCTTGCGTATGGTTGCAGCACAGAGGTCACATCAAAAGGGGATCAGCTAATGCTTGTGTCACTGTATATTTTCGAAGGAACACTGGCTTGCTTGGAAAAAGTACAATAAAAAAGCTCTGCTTATTTTTGAAAATTGTTTGGAACGAAAAGGACAAGGCAGAGTAAAGATGTCAGCTGAGAGCAGTCTGACCACAGCAGTGCAGCACTGACCTGGGAGATGTGGTTGATGGAGGACTCCATCCTGCGCAGCTGCGACGCCTGGATGTCCAGCAGTTGCAGCACGTTGTTGGCCAGGGCATTGATCTGGTAGGCGACGCTGGCCAGGGACTGAGTGGTATAGGCCTTGGTCTCCTCCAGAGCCTTCCTCTTATCCTGCGCCTACAGGCACAGGATGAACAGGTCAGTCTAAGGTTACTAACCGCAAGGCAGCCCAGAGACACATGTACATTCAGCGTAACTACAAACCCTGCGAACCTGGTTTTGAACAGCAACACTTAAGGTAAATTCCTCCAGGGGTCATGCTACATGTCATAGGTAACAACAAACAAACAAACAAACACTCCTGAATTTCACTGACCGCAGATTTCAAGATAATTTAACAAGACAGAAGAACCACATGGAAGAGGATTCCAGTCCATCGCAGGACAAACACACACACACACACACACACACACACAGGAAATTCTCAGAAGCCAAACTGCCTCACTGCGTAACCGCATAACTTTGCACTACACGAGGATATCAAAGTATCCTGGCGATTCAAGCTAGAGACGGAACTGATCTGATAACCACCGACGATATTGGGCCGATACTGGCAAAAAACTGCTCGATCAGATTTCCGGGTGGGGGGGGGGATGGGTTATTGCGGGGAGGGCGAGTGAGAAATTGATCCAATCTTCCATCAGGGATAGGCCTAGCCTGAAAAATCGGGAAAACGCTTGTACCCACGACGCAACACCCCGTAAACAGAAGTGAGGGTCACGTGATGGCTAGTCGTTCAACACATGTGTCGGAGCGGTCATGCCGGCTGTGTGGAAAGACAGTAACCCCTTAACATTTACGCATTTCACAGTCTCAATTTTGGCTATTCGTGAGTTTGGTCAGGGACAATTAAACAGAAATATTTTTGGAATTTATTAAAAGATCACAGAAACTCACACATGAGCCAAAAACAATACTGAGAATGATTTGGATCATATAAAATATAAATATTAGTAATAAATAATGTTTGAATGTAAGTGCGTACCATATCTTTAATATTAAAAAATGTTACCTATATTTGTGACCGTGGAATCTTGATTTCTCACCATAACGTTTAAACTTTTCAGTGCCATGAATTTAGTATTTTTAATAATGAGTCCAAAACGTTTTACTCCCAGTGTGTACAGTAGTAACTTTGTCAACATTGAAGGTAAATAAAAGTAAAGCACAATGTATGTAACTACTTAAGTCTGAACACAGTAACATGTATACAAACCAGGTGTCTTCAGACTTGTATTCTTTCTAAAACCTAGTTAATTAATACTCAAAAGTTCTATCTGTGATCAACTGCATATTTTGTACTGGAGACTTGTGTAATTTTTTACTAGAAATGGTTAATTACTCTACAAAGAGCAAATTGGGGGAGGCGTAAAAAGACAATTTCCCCACAGGGATCAATAAAAGTATGAATTAATTAAATTAATTAATATATACAGTGACATTTTTATGACTGATTTCTTTATTATATTTAATTTGGCAACGTATTTTACAAATTTGTACTTAAAGAAATATCTGTTGATTCCTGAAGTTGTTACTGAATATTTAGACATGCTTTTAGACAAAAATCTTATTTAATTATTAGCAGCTGATAAAGGGGAAAAATATATTGGATTGGTATCGGCGAACTAACTTTTAATATTGGTATCGGACTAATAAAATGACATTGTGCCATCTCTAATTCAAACCCTAAAGCGGTTGTGTGTCAGCGTGACCTACAGAACTATGGCTGTCAATCCCTCCATAAACTGTATAAAGTCATAAATCACTTGTCTTCTGTATTAAAGGTATTATGAGGATCNGACAGCGTGACCTACAGAACTATGGCTGTCAATCCCTCCATAAACTGTATAAAGTCATAAATCACTTGTCTTCTGTATTAAAGGTATTATGAGGATCCCAAACTTTAGAGAGTCGCCCAGCACTAATCCCAGTCGCCCAGCACTAAATGTTACAGTTGGTTTGCTGTGGAACCAGAATGACTGGACATGCTTGTAATCTAATTTCAGATCTCGGTAAACAACCAACGTCATTTTAAATAGGAAAACAATTTGACTTGATATCTAGATCAAAGTGTGGGAAAAAAGGAGGTGAAAAATTACAAGAAATCTATCCAGCACACTTTTCCAAGCCTCTGAGTTTGCATAAAATTCATACCAAGAAACCTAAACACTTAAAAGCACTGAAAAGGGTGAAAATGTATCTGGCTCATATTTGGCCCTCAAGTATTAGGCTGGCAAGCGGGAGGATAGATTTATAGGGACCAGGCTTCATTGTAAGGAGCTCCAGTGCATGCAGCCTACATCAAGATCAAAACCCAGTGATACAAATCCTGAACAGTCAATATATAGGACATACGTGACGGCTCGAAAATTCCTCTGTGGGGTACAGCTGCTGCTGAGGTTCTTGCACGGATTTACCAGCATCCCGGCGGCCAAATTTATGGCAGTTGATAGAAGTCCGCAGAATGGCACAGCTGGAGCCCACAGTGAACCGGAACCCAGCAGAGAAACAACCCAGTTCAACGCAGAGGAAAGACTAGTAATCAGCCTTTTCGGAACTTTCAGGATTTCAGAAAACCTCCGAGATCTCACACATCTTCAGAATCTGCTCCACATATATATATAAAAAAGATGCATTTCAGTCACATATATTCCAATTTTCTCCCTCGTGCATAATCGTTCCATTGACTTATAATATATATATATATATATAAAAAAGATGCATTTCAGTCACATATATTCCAATTTTCTCCCTCGTGCATAATCGTTCCATTGACTTATACAACTTTTGTTGCAACTCAGTGCATATGTGCTTGCAGTGCAAAGAATGGGAGATTAGTATTCAATTTAACAGACTATTAGCTCACACTCACTCTGATGTTCCGTTTGAAGGTGCTGTTGTGGAGGAAAATCGGGTAAAACAAAAGGAAGTCTGTTTCCACTGATACATCACAACACTGCTTTGACAAAGGGTGCCCATTTAGAAATGCAACGCTGCGTGATGGAAGCTGCGGCAAGAGCACAGCGCCAGTGTCATCCTCCCGCTCATAATCTATCAGTCAAGGAATCCAGCTTTTAAATTGGCTGCGTTTTTTTTACGGAGGGACCAGAGGGAAGAGTGAGTATGAAACATCATCTAACTACAAAGCCCATAAAACCTTTTAAGTATATGTAAGATTGGTTAAACATCGTTTTTTAATGACCATTATAAAAGAGAAGGCTGACAATTTGATATCTTATCAGACTGCAGCCATCCAGGAGAAGGGCTCGATACCCCCTGATCACAGGGCTGCGGGAAGGATTCCACTGTGCATGAATAAAAGCTATATTCAGATACAGGACAGCCGGTTCAGAGGTGACCATTCTGTCTTCTTGACTATTCATGTCCAGAACCTGATCACATGAACATCTCATATGCCACACATACAAGATAACTGGTGTTTGGGCTGTAAGGATGGTCGAAAAGCACCTGAACAGCTACACGTCGATCATGATCCAAGGTGTGCCCGACAAAACAAAAATGTACGCATGGAAAGCACCTAAACGGACCTCCGGCACGTGAGTCACGATATCAGGTACTCAGGGCCGGTTTGGTAGAGCTTTTAAAGTGGGTAAACGAAATGAGTGTTTTTAAAGCGCACTACCATGTTATTCCCAAATCACAATGTCATTAGCCAGTCAAGAATCACATTAGATTTTGTATTTATGTGATTATTGTGATGCAAGGTCGGAACAACAGACAGCATCCAGTTGGCAAATGAAGGAGCTAGGACCGCTAACAGGCATGAATGGCCGTTTCGCAAAATACTTAGCTTTAACGTCAGGCCAAATAGCTAACCTTTACATATGTGCACAGCCTACTCAGCTCATCTTGGGGGTGCTGTGTGGTTCAGAGTGTTAGGACTCTGTGCCGAAGATAGGAAAGTCACTGGTTTGAATACCCGTTAGGCCCTTGAGCCCCAAATACCCCCAGGGTGCCGGACGCTAGCTGACCCCACACTGTGACCCCCCCACACTGTGACCCCCCCAAGCTTGCTCTCACCTGTATGTGTGTGTCTGTTTCATGGAGAGCAAGGTGGGAGACAAGGCAATTTTCCCATTAGGATGAACGGAATACTGTAGCCTCTCCAGGTTGGAGTTGGCCGTGAACAATTAAACGGGAATATTTTTGCATGTTGCATAAGCTAAAAATATCTAAATAATACTGAAAATGATTTGGACCACATAAAATCAACTAATGCATACATTTTAGTGTCATTTACTATTTGCTAGTGTATGTTCATATCGTATCTTTAATATTAAAAGTTAATTTGGGTTAGAAAAAAAACAGCAGTATCTAGACATCTTAGCTTAAGTACACCATACACCTTTTCCATGACAACCTGCCTCACTCGCGTGTTAACCGTCTGACCATGGGATCTCGCATTTTTTACAGTAACTCGTAAACTTTACTCGTATACCATTAATGCAACGGTTTTAGTAATGGACCCAAATATTGCTGGTGAATTTTCACATCGGCAGGGATCTTCCGCCCCAAACCCTCGCAAAAATGTGATATCCACAGTGGTGACATTTCCTGCCAAATTCAAATGCTCTGCATTTCACAGTCAGGCATTAAAGCTAGTTATGCATTCACCAGTAAATCCCTCGCCATGCCTACTTCCCTTAAGAATACTTTAAGACAACATCCGAAGTTTAAGACGTTTGTAGCTATAACAATGCTATACGATACGCATGCGAGGCCAGATGATAGACAACGGCCTCTGCCTTTCCTACGAAGCTTATCAGCATTTGATTAATTCTGGAGCGCCAAAATGGAGTGTGACCTGGATTCTCTTATTACAGCGAAGCCATTCATGTGCATATATATTCAAGCTTATATTCATGCATGCCACAACGAGCAGCATTCAGCTCATTTTCACTGTCATTGTAATCATCATCATTTTCATATCATTTCATACAGCAGGTGAGTCCAGACGGTAGCTTGGAGGATCTCAAACTGTCCCCAAACCAGCTATTTAGAGATTTTATTTCACTATGTAGATAGCAGTTTGTCTAACATTCCAAATCCAAGTGTTTTAATAAGAAGCTCTTCTGCCATGTGTTGCTGTAATAGCC